TTTTCTTTTTAACACGCCCCTTTGCTTTAAGTCCTCAGTTTAAAAAAATGGAAGTCCTCAGTTCAAAGTTCGATCAGATGAATCTGCCCTTCGATGATTTTGATTTTGATAGTGGATCGCAATCTAAGCTTTAAAAAAGCAAAAAAATGTCGAAAAATCAAGAGGATGATCAATTCAGCTATTCTATTTGCTTCATTTGTTACGTTAATGACAATTTTACTTCCCTTCCTGTCAAAATGCATCAATGCACAGACGAATTTTAATTATCGGTTCCCTTTTGTCTAAACACTGGAAGAAAATTGTGATTATTGTGAATCCGGAGTACGTTTTTATATCATTCGTTACAGACTGCATATTAAGTACGTACGTTAAGTGTAATAACATCGTAACACTCCATCACAAATGGAGTAAAATAATTTTGGATTTTGTTGAACAGTTTGGTTTTATGCCTCAAGTACACCTTAAAAAAGGAAAGATTTTACAAGCCCTTAATCTGCCTAATGCTATTTTTTTCACCTTATCTGAAACGTGTTTTTTTTTTTCAAACACTTTTCATGTCCCGATGTTTAACAGTACAATCACGATAAGAAAGCTAGAAATTGATTCAGCTGAAAACAATCTTTCTTTAGTTGATTTCTATCCTTCTCTCTTACACTGCAGCTGCTCCCCAAAAATATTCAAAAACAGGCCATGTTTTAGTTATAAACGTTTTTGGCAAAACTTTCTGGGAGAATGGGGAAATTATGGGGAAATTCAATTCAGTGCGTTTTAAGAAGTTAGTTACATCTTAAATTAGGCTGTCCTAATTGGTTTTTGTTAGATTTTGGTTAATGTTTCCTAATCGAAAGCAGCGCTCCAATGCTGAAACGAACGATAAACTTTCATCGTTCAATTTTCACTTAAAAGCCCTTTACTTACGTGTCAACCAGTAGTGAAAAAAATAAGGAAAAAAGAGCGTTCTTTATATTATCTTATAATTTTTTTATCGAAATAAAGATTTTACAGTCGCATATTACGAATTTGTGAGTTAAATCTTGAAATTAGACGATAAATTGTCAAAAAATAAAAACTACAGACACATTCTAAAAATGTCTTTTTAGCACTAACAAAATATGCAGCAAATATTTAATGGAAAGCGGAGAGGTATATATTTCCTTTGAGTTTTGATAGATGGTCATTTGTGTATCGCTGTTATCATGTCACCACAGGAAACAAATTTTAGCAGTGATTTAATTTGTGGCCACCTTGAGCCCGCTTTATCGCCTGCATTTTCCAGTTTAATTCAAACATGTTCTTACATTTAAAATACTAATTTAAGGCACAAATGTCGGCTTTAGAGGTATCCAGCTTATTTATTAGTAAAATCTGATTACCATTACATAGCAGTTGGAGTAGTAAGGCACCTATGTTTCCAAAAAAGATCCTGAAGGTTGACTTATCTTATTTGCCCAAGTGTTTTTACTGTATCAGAAGAAGGTTTCTTGTCGACTAAAAAGAACTCTGATATAGCGAACCCCTAAATGTAGGGCATTCCCTGCGGAATAACGAAAAAATGACACTTTTCGCCCAAGTTACAGTAAAATATATTGACAGGGTCCACGTACAACTTTCCCCGTTGTAACGTTTGTTTTGGGGTAAATTACATGGGATTCGAGGAAGGATGAACGGCCTCTCACAAGCAATGCAACTCAGTGAATCATTGGAAACTTGAAAAAACGAGAGAAGTCAAGCGAACATGATATTGTCTTCTACATGCTCTGTGGTGGAATCACGGCAATTTCGCCCAATGTAAGGGAATCCGGAAAAATTTTGCCAACGGAACCTGGATTCCTGGGTTTTGGAATCCGGAATACAACTCAAGAAATCCGGAATCCCTCTATCCATAGGTAGTTCTACTGACAAATAGTGGAATCCAGTACCTGCAATCCGGAATCCACGGCTTGGAATCCAGAATCCAAGACTGTCCTGGATTTTCTTACACGAGGCGAGCGATTGATGAAATGGTAGTCGTTTCCGATTAAAAAGGACCTGTTAGGGGCTGTTTACATGGAGGGAGGAAGATTCTAACACCAGGAAGATCCTAGAAGGCCCGGATCATCCTGAACGCCATACGTTTTCTATATTCAGTTTACATGCATAAAGTTGTCCTTGTCCCTAGCGCTAGGATCTTCGTAGCTGAGGTAGGAAGCTCCTGTCTATGAAGATTCTAACACCATGTAAACCGCTTTCACCAGGAAGTTCCTTGTACTAGGGACAAACCACACAAAAATGGCTGCGGGTCGCTTACTGCAATCGTTAACCTCAAGAACCGAGATTTCTGCATGTAAAGTAACCAAACGACTACGATCTTCCTCCCTCGATGTAAATAGCCCTGAGATTTGATTCAATAGCGGTTTGAATTTTTGCTACAGTGGCCCGCGTTGGCAGATGACCAGCATATACCTGGAACAGTCTGATATCGAAAGAGGTTTTTACGACAACATTTCGTGAACTGTCGGATTCCTTTTTCTTTATATACGGCTATATGCTTTAGTATAATAATGCCGAAATTGTATCTCTTTGAACGTCTGAAAGAAATCAGGATTTTTTTTCAGTTAATTTAACGGCTAAAAAGCAGTACAATCTTATACAGTACGAAGTTTCAAAACTGTGTCCTAGTTTTGATAATCTTCATCCGTTTTGACATTTTAAATACTGGACTCAGTGTAGATGACAAGTAAAAAATAACTGGATTTTTTTTTCTATCACTATTTTATTTGAAAATCTATAGCCTTCTGAGCTCTTGCTACTGGCCTCATTACAATTATTTTAAATAGTAACGGGTAACTTTTCCTGTTTTTTCTTTTTAGTGTATTTTACTAAGCTTACATTTCTTGATTATGATTAAGAACGTCTGGGATGATAAAATACGGCTTTCAACAATAACCGGGCATCGTAGGTAAACCGCCAGACTCGTTAAGTAAACAACAATTATAACGAGAAAATACGAATCTTTTTGCAAAATTTCTCACTTCTAAAAGGCCTTATGACAGAAACACGAGTAACAGTTAAGTTGGTCTCTATAATTTCCTGATGAACACTACTTCTTATCCCATATTTATACAGAAACGTATCAAAACTACATATGCAGCGTAGTGTTGCCTATAAATTTCGTCCTTTACGTTGATTTGTACAGGGGATGACAGTAAATCTCAGGCTTACCGATTTTTTAGGATCAAAATTTCTCAACTTTTTCGTCAGGTTTTGTTAAATTTCGTCACTCACTAAAAATTAAAATTTGTTTCAGTGTGATCATGATCAGGGCCCATATATGACACATCAATACATTTCGTAAACCTGCCCCGTTTTTTACATTAAGTAAAACTGCTTTTCTTGAGCGACGTATCCGTGTTCTTAACCCTCAGCTGTTTTCAAATCCTTTTCAGCGGAACTTGAAATAATTATTCTACCAAAAGCGAGTTAAGCGAGGTATGGCCCTTGCCCCGGGTATTAATCTAATCTCATTGCCGCATCTTAACTCGCTCACTTCTTGCAGGTACAAGCGCGACAAACCGTTTATTTGACGATGTCGTTATATTCTTCGCAGCGTCAGAGTCGTTCGCGAAGATTAAAGGACTGTACTAAAAACTGTAAATCTAAAAATCTCGCGACCACACAGGGTAGTGAATAGTTCTGAGCGTGATACCCCATACCCATTGGTTCATTCAAAAGACTGACTTGCTCAGATAGTTAATTTGACTGACCTTCCCAGCGCATGGATCCCTCGACTGAAATCCTGTTAGCTGCTTTTCAGAAATGGTCAAATTTTTGATAAGCTTAAATTATCTCGTCGCTCTTTTCATGATAACCAATCAAGCAGTAAACAATTAAGATAAAACCACTTAGCATATGATTAAAAATGTTTTGTTATGACATATGCTAGATAAAAGCCTAATTTATCAGTTTCCGGCGCACTTCTGATCAAATATCAATAAAAGTCATTGCCAACCAAATTAAGTCAACCGGTTCCGCAATATAATTGAGCAAAAATCATTTTAACAGTTTTCCTTTTTCTATCCGGTAGGTTTTAAAGGATATGCTACGATGGATGAGCAAAAAATGCTAGTACGGAGAATTGGGGTACGAAAATCATTAAAATTGCGCATACAAAGTGACGATAATATGCTGAGGGCTCAATAATCGATAATATCATGCTATGACATGTGCGCAGACCAGCTGGTTTATGGCTGAATACGCGAGCGGGCAAGATGAAGCTAGCCTTGTGGCTGATTGGCTAAGAGAAGGTAAGATGAACCAATCTTGCTCGCCTGGATTTCCCGCGTTGGTCCTGCAACAAAAAAAACTTTCCTTTATTGAAAAAGCTTGTTCAGTCAAGTACTGGATATCGGCCTAGTTCTTGGTCATTAACGCATATTCACAGCTTATATTACATGTAATTTAAATATAGTTGAATCTGAAAGCGGGCAAGATGAAGCGAATACTGAGCTCTGATTGGCGACCTGAGCGGGCAATGGGGAGCGGGCAAGTTGACCCCAACTTTCCCGCGCGGGATTTCCCTCTTTAGTCCCGCAAGTTTTCCACTTTTTGGCCATTTAGTAGATCTTTATTTCAGGACCAAGCTTGTCTGTTGTTTCATGACTGTGCACCAGGGGAAAATGTGCCAGTTTCCCCTGTAGTCCAGTTTCAGGTGAAGTCCACGTTACGGACGCAGTTGGGTGAGTTGGCCCAAAACTTTTTTTTTCCACGGAAGAACTATTTCGTACTTTTTCTGCGAAGACAGAAGATTTATGGAAACGTACGCCTGATCGCTAATCGCCCTTGACTCGTCATAACATAAACAATGCAAAGAAATGTACAGTTGAGGATCGCACGTTTCCAAACGATTTCCCCGAAAAAGCTCCAGAAAGACTCAAACGCGCAATCGAATGATCTAAATGACGTCATCACAATAGGTTCATCTGCTTTTTATTTGTTCATCACCACGACAACAACAAAGGCCCATTCCTCCGCGCCAACTTTCACAATTGACAGTCATGGCGACGAAGTGTCCGCTCATTCAGCGAGAAAAAGTTAAACTTTTCACAAATTAGCAGGTCTCGATCGTCTGATTTTTGCGTGAGGATTACCAGGAAAATGAGCACTTTATGTTCCAGCCTCTTGGAAGCTCTCTACTGTTGATATATGCAAAGATAAAATTGTTCTGAATACCTGCGAAGGAAAATCTTTGACTTTCAGAATGACTCCTGTTCATGGAGCGGATGGGACCGCTACATCTTCCAGAACTTCTTCGTCTGTGGCTATACAGCAAAGGGAACGTATAAATGGCTGGTCGTGTCCGTGGCATCCTTTACAGTTTGTGGCATGGTTTTTTCTTATCTTCTTCTCTGTATTATATTTCGGTGTAATTGTCTTCTATCTCCCAAAAGAGTGGCGAGCAGCTGGATTTATTGTATCCTTTCCCATTACCTTTCGCAATTCTTTATAGGCTTCGATGAAAACTGTCGCTTCAGTTTTTGAAGGTTTACTTTAATGATACGGGTGATATTTTTGATACTTTATGACGCGATCGACTTTTCCCGTTGTTGTACACAACACGCATTAATAGTCGATGTAGTTGTGGTCTTTATTATTTAAATTTATCAAGCTGAATTTTTATATCCTCTATCACCTTTCGATAATTTGATGGATCTGTTTTCTTCTTACTGCGTTTAACGGTTGTAGCTCAGTCTAATAGGCTAAGAGATAATTCTGCTTTATTCTGAGGGTTATTTTCACTAATTTTAAGGTGCTGAATTAATGATAGGGATTTAAAAGCCTGCAGAGGAGTACATTATGCACATCAATTGAGTATCTAGCACTGAAGTGAAGACTGAAATTAAATCTAAATTGTCTTTATTTGTGAGTGCTGAGAAGGGAGAATCCCCTCAAATCCTTCTGAACTTGAAGAAAATGCTTTTGATCCTGGCAAAAAACTCACAATGAAATGTTCTTAATTTGAATAATTTTTGTTTAATGAAATGATTTTTTTTCTAGTTAAAACTAAGGGTTTTTTTGACGGAAGGAATTGTAAATATAGTGTTTTGACGAAATGGTTTTTTTTTTAAAGTGAATTAATTGTAAATAGGATTTTGATAGTTAGCATTGTTATCAATAAAATATGTACGATCTGCTACTGTAATTAAAAACTGACAATAATAATAATGATAATAATAGTAATATCGGTGAGATTTTCTGAGGGAAACTTTGAAAGTTATTTCTGAGTAAGTGTTGCATCAGTTCCTTGATCTTTGGAATATTTCTGAGGGATATGGAAGAAAAATCCTTTTTCTCTGAGGAGGGAAAGAACAAAGTGGGTTATTTCTGAGGGTTGGACTGTGTCATAATGTTTTCTTCTCAAGGCGTAAAACTATACTTCACCCAACTTAGGCTTTTTAATGGTATGGCCCTTACATGTAGCTCTCCCAGCACTCTAACTGATTTGACTTTGAGGCCACGTGTTATGGGTAAACCACATAGACAAGAAAACTAACTATTTATGTTAGATATACTTTCCTTGACCATAAATTAAGATTCCGGGTGGTTTTTGTGGTATACATATTGTCTACCACCTACTGGCATTGACAATTGACCCTGCAGATCCCAGCATCAGAGGAGGAACTAAGAAAAGCAAAGCAGTTTTTGATAGAAGCCAACATCGGCATGTTATTGAAAATAGTCACTGTTATATCTGCCAAGTGGATGTGTAAGTTTTGATTTGTTTCATGTACAGTATGTAGTTTTAGGTTTATATGTAATATAATGTGTAGATGCAGTGAAAACCTGCAAGTATAAGAACCTGGTTTTGTAAACCTGTTATGCTAAAATTTGCTTGTTAGGCCCCCTCTATACAAGAACTTATCTTAGCCTTCTGTACACCCATGAAAACAAGATAGTGTTAAAGCAGATAATTGAACTGCTAGGAAGTTCTTTTGGTTATAATTTATTTTTCTTTAGTTTCCTACAAAAGTAGCCAGGGGAAAACCTCAGTCCTGAGTGTAATGATATAAATTTTATGTAATCATAATAATAATTATTATTGTGATTATTGCAGTAAATTTATTTGACCTAGCTCTTTTTTTTGTTTTGTTTTGTTGATATAGTGGTTCTAAGAGCAAGCATTGCTCAGTGTGCAACAAGTGTGTATCAGACTTTGATCACCACTGTAAGTGGCTAAACAATTGTGTTGGAGGCCAGAATTACAGGTAAATGATGCTAGACCCAGTCCAAGTGCAGCACTTGTCAATCAAGTGCTGAACCTAACTGATGATTTAGGTGTGAAATACATGTAAGAGTGACATATGAGCCAGTTTGTTTCCGGAGTTGATTCATGTAGTGATGATACTTTTCTCACACATCAAGCCCAATGTTATTCAATTTTGAATATGTATTTAGCACTTAAAATCCAATAATTCATTTAAAATTGTGTTTTGTGGTTTTGCTGTTTTATTTTATGGATTGCCTAAGCTGTAAGTACCTTGTTTCAATGATTTGTTGTTCAATTTTGTCAAAGTACAATACTGTAGGCTATTTCAGTGGAACTGCATTTCAACCATACATGTACATCAGTAATAAAGTTCTGTTCAATATAGAGTTACTTTTACAAATGTTCTCTTTGATTTAATGTTTGATTCTCACTTTTTAATGATAATATTATTATTGTTGTACCATAGAGGTCCCCATTAAAGGAGAAAACAACAACAGCTTTTACTGTAGGGGAACAAACCCTAAATGCGTTAAGACAATTTGTGCCTGTAATTTACATTGTACATTGTACATGTACCCCGGTACATGACATTATGTTCATTAACAGGGCTTGTTTACTGTTTAACTGGTGATGGTTGCTTCATAACAAAGTGACTAATATTATTATTTTTTTCATTTTCATTTTCTCAGGTTATTCATCGGCTGTATTTCCAGTGCATTTGTTTTAGCAATGTCCGTATTTGCAGTTACCCTGTATGTCTTTGTCTCGTCTTTTACAAGTAGAGACAGTCTAAAATCTTTATCAGGTATGTTACCTTTCAAAGAGAAAAACTAAAATACTGCTTACTAAATAATGCTGATTTGGGGGTGCACTTTGCCTTTCTTATAACCCAGGATGCAATGCACAATAAACTGTTGCCAGTGTTCTGGTGTGTATAGAGCTTAAAAATAACTTGAATTCCTCAAGCTTGTCCTCAGGACTAGGGACTCCTTAATTCCGCTCTCTGGTTTTGGTTTTCTGATGTGGATGCACCTGAAGGAGATACGATAAGGGTTAGATTTCAAGTTTTAGCACCTTCGGTCACACTTACACAATGAAAAATTAAACCTTCTGAATTTGCTTGTCTAGAGCTATTGTATCCTCCTCTAATTGATCAAGTTTAATAGCAAGAGGATGACTTGCCTGGGACCTTCCCTGTACGACAAGTCAGCATAAAAAGTTGAAGTATTTCACTACAAAAGGAGACACTGTTAGCAGAGATCAAAATTTACTTGCCTGGCAGGGAAATGGTCGATGGCTGGATGGGACATTATAGAATTCTGGGCAGGGTACTTAAATGTTCTGTTTGAGGAGTGAAATCCAATAGCAATCAAAATTTGACCCCTCTAACTCATTGTGTTAGGGACCTTGATTAAAAGGGAGATTTACAGTCATGTTTACAGCAAACGGCAAACTTCAGATTCATGTTGAGAATCAAAATAGGAGAATAGGCGAATAAAAACAGCTCAAAACAATTCTTATGGACAGAAATGGCATGAAACTACTAATTTTTGTGTAGAAGTAACGAACAGTAAACGACTTACCATAGAGGAGAAACTTGGTCACATGGTACAAATTCATGTTTGCTGTGTCCTGTAAGTGTGACTTTAAATCTCCCTAGTAAGGTGTTAATTGATTATCATAACACTGATTTTTGCTCTGTCGGAGTATCTATTGAATGTATTTGCCTTAAAGATATTTTTCTTTCTCTTATCCTATAGGAGGAGAATTCAAAATATTTGTTGCCGTCTCATCAGATGAATTATTTATATCAATACTTGGAGTTGTGGCAGGACTGCTGCTTCTTGCTATAGCGCTCCTGGGACATCTTCTAGGATTTCATATTTATTTAAGTAAGCTGCATCTCTAGAGCTGAGCTTTGTACCCATCAGCAGGGTGTCATTAAGTTTTGAAGCAGCCGTAGTGAATGGAGATTCACGCGTAACATCTCAGAAAAATTTATAGTGTCATCTTTAGCTTTCCACCTTGCCCACATGTAACATCAAGGACAAAAAATTAATTCTCACTCACTTTAACAGGCATCTTACATTCCACTGAAGAGGATGTTCAGTGATGAACAAAATTTTATTTTGTTAACAGGTGCTTCTTTGCCCTTCGCCTCAGCTTCTGAGCTTTTATGTTTGTTTTGCATTGTTGGTGAAATGAAGTGCCTTAATGGTAGGATAGGTCTAACTCAAATTTAAGCCGCACTTATTTTAAATTTTTGTGACAGCAAACTGTAAGGCCTGTACATGTTTTACCGATATTTTACACTTGTAACTGTTTGTGATAATCCATTACCATATTAAGGTGTCTTCCATGTCCCTTGGTGTTTGCCAAAAAACTTGAGAATCGTTTGTTTTCAGAAAACGTTGTGATTGGACAATTTTCTTTCAAGTATCCCTGTTTTGAGTGTCCACTCTGTAATAGATTATATTTGATATATTATTTTGTTTTTCTCTTTGGCAGTTTATCATAAAATCTCAACATATGAATTCATAGTGAGTTCTCGAGAGCAAAGATCTGAAGCTTCTGATGTGGAAGCTGGTACAGATAAACCCTCTTCATGCAAACAGTCAAATAAGAAAATGTTTAAGGTGGGTTTGCAAGAAAGCGACTTTCAGTTTGTTTCATCCTTAACCAAGGACATAATGTGTCACAGACCCTCACGTGATAATTAGCTGGGTTCATGGAAAACAGGAAATTTCAAGAAGTGGTAGGCAAAGTCATGGAACATGACGAACTGAAGAAAGTATGAACACTGATTAAGCATAATATAATAGTATATTAAATTCCAACTGGCTGAAGGTTTATCAGTTGGGTATGTTATCAAGCATGATCAAGGAGGTGATTATACTTAATCAGGACTACCAAGAATTAAATCAAGTCAGTGATCAGGGCAAAGTCTAATGTGCTGACCACTCAGTCCTGCTGGCTCCAATTTCGTTGGCAGGGCCAGGGTTGTCATTAAGAGCCGGGGGGCAGGGATTTTCCCTGGCGACTAAGAGAGTGGGCCCCAGCTACTTATATTGGAAAGTAGAAGAAAAATAGAACCAAAAGGTTTGGCCACTTGGTATTTTCCCTTGAAATCTTTGAGAATGCAGGGATCACTCAGGACAAAGGGAGGGGGGGGGGGGGGAAAAATGATCACACTTTATAAAGCCGGAAACTTGAAATCTTAGTGATTGCCCTTTATTGACATTGATCCTTGCATAATGAAAAAAAACTTGAACTTTCTCTCTTGTAGAATAAAGTAAAACCAGAAGAAGAGAGGAGAGAGAATGATGAACCTCAAAGGTGAGATTACAAAAATGGTGCTTTAAAACCAAGTATTCTAAAAATAATCATTTGATTTTAATTATCGATCATTCATTTGCCTATGGCGTGATGGCCAGATAATTGGGTGGACACTGGCAGGACTAAAGCACAGGTCACATTCCATAGGTCAAGAGTACAGGTCACTGCTCCATCAATAAATTACCAAACCACGTAGAGTCCCCTCGATCAAATAGAGCATTTTGCTTAGAGATTAGGCAGCCTTAGGAGACACTTTTAATGTTATTTATTTATCTGTATCATGGTGACCTGTACTCTGACCTGTGGAAAAGTGACCTGTATTTTAGCTCCGCCAGTAGGCACCATGCAGCCTCAACTAACTTCAAACAACGTTTTTTCCCATAATTTTTTGGTAAAATGAACCTATGAACCCATTGTATTTATTTATTTTTTAAAAAGGAGATAATATTAACTTGACACGAGCAAGGGTTCCACCCCTGTTGGCTAATGCAGGCTTTTACAAAGTTTCTTTCATTCATTCTTTCAGAATTGAAATAAGTGATCATGGTGCTTCTGAGGGGTCTGATGATACACTACCAAATGAAACAACTGTTAAGTTTATTAATGAAGTCAGCTCTAAGGTGAGTCATTTACTAGTCCCAAGAGGCCATCTATCATGGTCAAGAAAATTCTTTTGAAACTGTCTGCTTACAAAGTGCTTGACTTATCATACTGTAATGAAAGTAACTGAAAATTTACCTGCTCATTAATAATACCGCAGAACTCTGTACATTTTACAGAGCAATATACGATCAAGTGAATACAAAAAATGGTTAGTTATATCGTCAAGGAGCCAGATTTACAAAACCTTGCTAATTTAACCCTTTCTTTTCCAAGAATGCCCCAAGTGACAGGGCTAATTATTTAACAAGCTGATAGTCATAAAGGCTGCTATGCTGACACATCTATTAAGCTAGCAGATTGACATGTTTGCAGATTGATTGACTTGATGGGACACTGATTTCCTGGAATATTATGCAGACATGCTGCACACTAACAATAGTGTGTCATTGCAGTTTGTCTATATTCCATGCTTATCTTAGGTTTTTGGACCAACTTTTGATGGAGGGTGTCTTGTAGAGCCCTACCACTCCAGTCATCTTATGTCATGACCCCTGGGCTCAAATCATTTACAATGTCAAAAATCTTTTTACTCTACTTTTACATCAGGCTGCTGCAAAGCAGAACAGATCCAATGTAGAAGAAGATACCCTACAACAACAGGATTATTCAACTATCACAAGCCCTGATACGGCTCATTACTCACCCCAAGGAATTACAGAATGTGCATCATCTTCAGAAGAGAGCCTTAAAGAAATTACACGCCCATCCACTTCCCCTCGAGTAGAGGTTAATCAGCCAGCTAGCATAATCACATCACAGCTTCAAGAGACAATTTCAAGCAAACAATACCAAAGTGAACTGTTATCTTTTAATCCGGGACCTAGGAGGGTTTCCATGGTAACTTTTAATGACCAAGTAGAAGAACTTGTTCCCAGTTCTCAGGGAAAGAAAAAGAAAAAGACCAATGTGAGTGAAGATGCAAATACAAAGACATTGAACGGTGGAGATTATGAACTGACTGCAGTCAACAGAGAAAATGCTAGTGCTGGACAGGATACTGTTGATGCTGTTACACCCAGGAAAAAGAAGAAGAAGAAACCTAAAGCAAATTCCCCTGACAGCCTACCCCCTATTGCTAGACGCCCATTGCCACAATTGCCACCACAAGATGGTTAGGCCAATGAGACCTGAACCAGAGTTCACATTATTTTTTAAGAATTATACCTCAGCCAGTTGACACTTTTTTAATTTGCAAAGTGAAAGTTTATCACATTTTTGTTTTTCACTTGTCACCCTTTTCACAATCAATTTTTTTAAAATGTATAAATGAACATAATAATATTGTTAGACCCTTTCAACTCCTTGCAAATCATGCGACACAGCAATATTTGCATCAAAGCAATTGAATTGCAATATTTTATTATTATTTTACAATGATTAGTTAAGCTTTTTTTTAGTGATTTTGGCTGGGTTCTCTTCTGTAGTTAATCAAGGATTACAGGTAACCAAGCTTTGAACAAGTCTGTCATGGTCGTAAAAGTTTTAATGCAATTTTAGTGGAACGAGAATCTACTTTGGCCTTGCTAATATTTTAAGCAAATCTTATCACTATTTTTTAAAATATGAATAATTTCAGTGAAATGTGTAAATTGTATATATGAACATACCTGTTTCCTAATTATGATGTACAGTAGATGAAATATTTATAGCTTTAAGCATAAATTATGTATTTTAACATGAAGATCTTCAAGCCAATCAACTTTCATTGACTTCAAATCAGTTTTGTCTTAATGATATTATTAATAAATATTAATAATTAATAAGTGAAAAAATGGGACAGCTACAATCCAAACCTGCTAAACTTAGAACAGTCTCTCTTCTTCTCAGATTTAGTTCAAGGGGAATGCATGCCCGTGCAAGAGTTGTCATTTTCGTTTTTTGGGTACTTCGCTCGGTGGAGTAAGAAAAAAGAGAGAATGCTCGTAGCCAACAGACACACTGAAGTTTTAAACTTTGAGCAAAAGCAGCTGCTGGCAATGGTGGTGTTTTTACTTTTACGCTGTAATTTATCTAGATTGAGATGCATACATTACAGCCAAGCTGTTTGCTAGCAGTGTGCTATCTAGTCACACTGTCACCTGCACTCTTATTTATAGCAATTTTTGTCATTAAAATGCTTATTTATTTACAATTTAGCACTACAGTCTATCTTCAAGGTCAATTTATGTCTCCGTTCCAAAAAACCGGATAATACAGAGGAAAAAACCTCTGAGGCTTAAGTAAAAAATAGAAAGAACAAAATATAGTTTTTCAATATTTGGTTTATCTTATTTTGTGAGATAACTTACAAATTAGGTGAGCTATGTCTCTATTGTCTCTAGCCACATAGCTCTCTAAGAAGCCTCTGCATTCTATATTATTGTCCTTTGGAAACACACCTGATATTGTTTTAGAGTTAGGGGCATTGTTTGGGTTCTGTATAGTCAATCACACATCTTAATGTTTTGAGAGCTTTGTGACATTACAGTGAAGACATGTTGACACTCATCCTCACACTTTTCTTATTTGTTGGTCTGCAGGTCCTTACCGCTTGAGTCTGAGAGAGGTTTTTGAAAGCAAATGTATTCTTAGATCACACTCAATTTATCTGCGTGACAACAAGGTCTATATTAACCCCTTCACTTACAATAAGGAGCTCAAAAGTGTTCTTTCATGTAGATATTAACCAATCTGAAGTCGAGGACAGTTTCCAGCTGGCTTCTGATTGGATAAAATCTGTACAAAAGAATGTGAATAAATCAAAAGTGTTCACACTTTTGGGCTCCTTGCTGTAAAAGTTAACAATAGCGATAACAACAACATGTTTTTTGATGTGAAGTATATATGAAATAATTCATTTTTGAACTGCGGTTGTAGATGAAAGTGAAGAATGATCATCGCAAGCCCTGATTTTTTTCAGGCTTCTTCTTTCCAATTGCTTATATTGGAAAATTTACTGCGATGATCATTCTTCACTTTCAACATATTTTTTGTAAAATCCTGAGAAATGAGTGGTACTATGCAAAAGTTCTACCATGCAAAGTGGTTCATTTGAATAGTTACACGGGGTTTAACCAAAGTTTCAAAGTTAGCTAGAATAACAAATAATCTTGTTATGTTAAATGCTGTACTTAATTTGCCAAGTTGGTCATGGGTCCCGCATTCCCCCAATATCCTTTCTTGTACTAGGACAACTAAATCAAAGTATTCATGCCTACAAAAAAAAACCATGCCCATCCATAAGTTGAACAAGAAACTAGCATTTAATTCTGATAACTCTAGCAAAAAGATCTATAAAAGTTATCCAAGGTTACTGCACTTCCAACTTAAATTATAGAAGCTCGTTTTTCTCCTTAAAATTCTTAGAAGCAGCTTTAAAACCTAGTCTAATCTCTGTTTAGCTTTGCTTACAAGTTAAGCACACACAGGTCTAAACAGTTTCGGGCATACAATAATGGAAAATCGTCCGTCTTGTTTTACTAGTAATTCTCACCCACTTGTTTCAATATTGTGGCCAAAAAAGTTGATCACGTGTCCTTGTCTAACCTCCCAGTATTAACAGCAGGTATCCTTGTGCAGGGTTAGATCTCTCTCTAAACCACTGTATATACATGTACACCAGGGCCCAGTTGTTCGAAGGCTGATTAGCGCTTAACCAAGGGTTAAATAACCTGGGTTTCTTTTTCTTGTGTTCAAAAGCATTTTCTCGAATAATTTTCTGTGCTATTTTTAGAGCTTCCAATCAGTAACTTGTAGACAAAAAGAACTAAAACTGAAATGCCTTTTAAGCTTTCAAATCTGAATTCAAATCTCGCACTAACCCTGGGTTATCTTAACCCAGCTTTGAACAACTCGGCCCAGTAGCCTAGATGATGCAGGGGCTGGCTATAACCCAGGTTATGGTTACACAGTATGTGGTATAATGGTGTATGGGTGGGTCCAAATACAAGACTCTCTCAGTTGGGAAGAGAAAACAAGAATTCAGCAAACTGGCCATGCTCCACACTACTTCTGTCCCCCAGGGCATAGTTGGGTGGAGTTGAAAATGTAAATGTCACGCCAGCTACTGTTACAATTTTTAAGCCTTTACATCCCTTTCCAGATTTCGCTCCAGAAATTAAGACCCTAATATGGTACAGAGTGTTCTTTTTCAAGGACGGTTTAGAGTTGAACAGAACTTCAAATCCATGATAGCTAAAATTTTGGCCTGATTCTAATAGCTTTGAAGGATATTTTGAACTTTCCAATTTCACCAAACGTGCCGATGATATAAGCACTGAAAATGGGTTGCCTCGGTATAACTCTAATGTACCTAAGTTGTATAAGTTGCTCTCACTGCCAAATAACCGCAGTCCGTGTACAATTATGTCTTTGTCCACTTTAAATTCAATAACATCCCTATTTAATCCGTCACAATCCCAAGAACTTCTTTGCATCAGGGTAAACCTTCCACAACGGTGAAGACATGAGCGTCTTCGAGTCTCCGAGAACCCTAAAGGCAGAGAGATTTCTTGTGAACTAAAAAACTTAAAAAAGGTGACAATTTCATCCGGAGTGAGAATTTTTGCATCAAGAACGACATCAGCAAACTCCTCTTGCTTCATCGCTGCATAGCGTATTGCTTTAATAATTTTCTCTCCAAGAACTCTTCTTTTCTGTTCACCGTCAGTTGCTAAGCCCTGCTTTCTGCATTGATTGATGGCCCACTGATCACAAGCTTTAAACAGCTCGGGTTCTCTGATCTGCAGCGTTTCTCGTTGGACCAAAGCTTCAAGCAAGGTCTTTTCAATCGTCTCAAATCCATCTGATTTCAAAGCCTGTTCCGTCTGCCTTTCGATTACTTTCCAACATCGATCAACCAGGTTCTTCTCTTCATATTTCTGGGCAGTTGGTAAGATGGTGAACACGTTCGAAGGATCCAATTTATCTTGCAGATAATCCTTGCATTTTTCAGCAAGGGAAGGAACCATGTACTTCTTGGCCAAATAGAGTACTCCCAGTACATTACTTCCGCTTAAGTTTACTTCATCGCTGTACAGATAACGGAACAACTCCAACAAACTCTCGTAATCACAGTCAGGCAGTTGAATAGTGTCTTTAGTCTCCGCTAGCTCACCGTAAAACATGGCTTCAAACACAGGACTGCCAATGGAAAGCACAAACTTGTGAGCAGTGATCAAACGATCAGTTTCACTTTCGCCGTCGCTTCCTCGAACACTAAACTTCACATCGCTCAAGTGTTCATTATTGAACATAAATTTGGTTCTCTCTCTGACGGTGGATCTTGTTACTTGCCAGTTAGTTTGAACAGCCATGATCACTCTGCGCAGTGACACTTGTGGACAACGATACGTTCAGTGTCTAATCGGTAGCAAATTATTTCTTTCTATGCCTTAAGACAACGCCCGCTTTAGTACAAATGTTAGTAAGTTGCGCTTTAGAAGTCACGCGATTCCACAAGACGTCACGAAAGCATGATGGCGTGGTGTAAATGCTCTTTTTTTCCTGCGCGCACAGCGCGCTGTGTAAATTTATCTTAATTTATCCACCCTGATAAATAGCCTATGTAGCAGACGATTTTTAGCGCAACAAAATGTTGTAATGTTGGAATAATGTTGTCACCATTCAAAACAATGTCGGAACAATGTCGATTAATTTTGCAATGCTGTGTTGCGCTAAAAATTGTCTTTGCGAATATAAATCGTCTCGTGTGACATCACCTTAAGACGTGAAACTGCCCGTTTTATGAGGGACGTGAACTCAAGACAATGACTTAATTTTCACAGTTTTCTTGAACTTCTACGGTCCTTTAGAATTCAACTCCAGAAAAATTTGCCAACATTTGACGAAATGAACGAGATGGAGGGGCGCGATTAATTTGGAAGCAGCTCGAATTCCCTTTTTAAGTGACGTTTTCGTAGCCATCGCCGTAATTGTTACTTTTAAGATCCGAAACCAGGGAGCTTTTGAGATTAAAGGCTCCGTAGTTTCGGATCTAGGGGAGGGGTCCGGGGGAGCCCTAAGGCCAGCGGGACCTGTACTTGGGCGATAAAGTTACTTCGTTTACCACCCCTCACCGCCCCATCTTATATTACGAGACCTAGACGTATCTTGTTTCTGAAATTGTATTCAGAGATTAGTTTGTCTGTAGGATAGGCTTCGTGTCTGGAAAAAAGATTCCTCTTTCAGACAAGAAGAAAGTGGAAACAGCAGCTTCGGCAGAAGCAATTGAAAAAGTGAAGCATTGGGAACTTTAGTACGCGATTTACTCGGTCCATTGCTCGCTAAAACACATTTCGCGCCCCACAATCAGAGTCCTGTTAATCGGAGAAGTTATCAGACTATTATCCGAAAAGTCCGAAAACGACCAGGTGAATTAATTGAGCCCTTCTCCATATTTTTTTCCACCAATAAAAGAAATTAAACTCTTCAATGTTTATTTAATGATGCCTCATGTTGTAACATCCCTACCTCTTATATAAAAGGTTTGATACTCCCCTCTTCTTTATTGCTGCAGTTACGTTACAGTGATTTTCTGCTTGCAGTTAGGTGACTTTCGTTCTTTCCTCCAATCACGTGTCAGTTTTTTCTCAACTTTAGTAAATGGTATGGTGCTGCGTTGCTTGGGGGTTAAACATATGTTTATTCACCTCCGGCTCCTCCGGAGAGGAGGATGGTGAGACGGCAACAAACAAAACGCGAGGGAGACAAAGAGAAGAGAATTGAGAGGCACGAGGGTTTACTTCTGAAGTCGTTTCGCTACGTGTTGGGTCAGTTTCGAGAACTACTTTCGCCTGATCAATGTTTAAAAGAACAAGGTATATACATGTGTATCGCTTTTTTGTATCATGGCTGAGAGAACGAAGCCGAGTATATATGCGCGATATACGCAGCGCTCGTTTCCCTTCTTAGCGGAACGATGGTGTAAGACGTTTACGAACGGCACGTTGGCGAAACAACCTGTTACTGGTCTGAGAGGCTTTTTCCCTCTTCCCATCTTCCCCGCGTGCTTATGTTTATTGCTGTTTTTCTTGCTATGTTAATTGGGATACCTAGCGGGAGCCTCTGTGGAGTAGAGTGGGGAGAGAGGGCTCAACACAGAATTTTTTTTTTACCACCGTGAAGAGATTTATTGGTTGACGTTTCACAAGCGCTCCGCTTTGACGAAAGGTTAGCAATTGAAACGCCGTTATCCTAAGGCAAATTTAAGGGATGCCCGTGGCAAACCTTTCTTGATTCACTAAAGAGGGGAAAGTTAATATTCACTTTCCTGTTCGCAACATGTACAATTAAAACATATAGAATGAAGATGATGAAGTTTTCCCGAAATCCTCATATCGGCACTAAGGATGCACGAGGCTGTGAGTAAGAAACAGATGAACGACATAGAGAAAAGTTACTATTTCAGTATGGGATATTTAAAAAATTACATTTTAGATAGTTTTTAATCGATTTCGAACATGTTAACATTTTAACGCAGAGTGGAGATGCAGTGATCTACAATGAGGTTTATCATGAGCTATGATCAACAGCGTACAATGAGCCAAAATAAAAGTAATTTGCGGCTCTAAGGACAGGAATTTTGAGGGAACTTTAATAGTAAGATAAAAACAAGAGAAGGTCCTGGTGAAAAGTTTGTTGAGCCCCCCGTAAACTAATTACAACATTATCTATTTAATCTCGGAGTATATAAAGTTGTTCTTCTTTAACTGAAACATTTAGGCATTGTTTGTGCATTTGACATGTCAACATCGACAACATCGTCAACTATCTGAAAACAAGACGTCTTTACGCATAAAAATGCGAACGACAACAACTCGAGTCCAATGCATACATAAAAAAGAGATTTATTTTTGTTAAGTTATTTTCACGTAAATTACACGTTTCTGAAATAACGGACAAAATATCGAAGGAAAAGACCCGAAAGAAAACGTAAAATCCGCAAAATGATGATGGATTGGAAATAGTGCCTTCAACTTGAAAAGAAATCCACGATTCTAAAATGAAATGTTAGGCCACAGTCAGACGTCAAACTTCACATGCGCCGAACCTAACAGAGAGATGAGGCAAAGACGTTTTCGAGCGACGCACATCAACCGGAAGTGGACTTTTGGCATTCTTGGGCAGTGGTTTTGCCAAAATTTTAGGGCAAATCGTGTCTTTAAGAGTAAAGACACTTAGCAATAAAAATTGGGTAGAGTCAAGGCATATTAACATGGAAAAGGCATCACTTCTGGTCAATAGGCTGATTCAGCAACAGAACGGGAACGTCACTTGACAACGGGAAAGCGCGCGGTAAGGACTAAACTCGACTTCCGGTGCCCAATTTGCCTCTGTGCCATTGGCCAAGCCAGTTGTTTGATTTGCGTGCGCAGTCGTCAACTTCCCGTTCTCTTGCTAAATCAGCCTAATGTGCGTTGCTCAAAAACGTCTTTGTTTAAGTTCCCTAAAGCAAATGAGCAAGAACAACATGTTACTATAGCCTAAGTAAAGCCGCCCCTGCCCTCAAACAAATTCGGAAAAGGGCGGCTGTACGCAGGCAAAGTAATATCCGTTCATTCCAAATAGTTAACGCTTTGACTCGTCAATGAGTTTCCCTGTGTGAGTAGTTAGAAGCCATTATTAATTGGAAAAAATTGAACACTAGCGCAACATGCAATCCTGAACGCTTGCCGAACACAACTGTTTTGCAATAATAGTCCATGGGCCAAGACCTAAAAATTTGGAATTTCTTACCACTTAATGGGAGCAGTGCTATCATACATTTTCTTGAACCTCAATTCCTTTACTTTAGTTTGATGTATGATAGCAATGATATATGGCCAGCTTAAATATCAAAATCACGTGATTAACTGACGTAATCACTGACAAAATATGAGCTAACTATCTAAAAGTGGTTGATGAGAACAGAGTGGTTTCATGCATATTATGTGCTCTACTGTTGATTTAATTGGAAAATTACATTATAATAACATTTGACTTAGAAAATTAACGAGAAATGATATACCTTGGTTGCCATAGCAACAATCACATGGGCTAAAAGTGTTTTCATACGTAGGAATGTTGAACTCCCTCAGGGAAACTCGTCAGATACTTGCTTTAATTTGTCAATGTACACTTTACATCGAATATTTGCGTTATATAATCAACGTTTTAGTCACATTTCCATCGAAATAGATATTACAAGGGCATCAGACTAGAGCTTGAGCTTTCGTTTATTTAGTGACACGCAGTAACATTGCTAAAAACCTCAACACCTTATGACCATTTTTACTTTCCTGTCTGTTATTTTGCAAATAGCTTTGTCCACTACCCTACAACACTAAGAGATTATATCAAGGCACCGCGAGAACCTTTAGAGTACTACAGCTTAATCATCTTCACATTCAATAACAGAGTCATCTGTAGTTAAATCCTCTGCAGCTTCCTCGGGCTGGTTTGTACACTCCTGTAACCGACACATGTCATTACAATGCAATCCGTTAGCGAGACAGGTACAGCTTGGCAACTGGCAGACTCTCTTACACTAGCAGGATCGGAGCTCAAGCACAGCCTTGGGTGCCGGTTCCCCACTCATCCAGTCAATAGTCAACTTACCATCCTTTAGACACCATCCAGAACCAATGGGCGAGGGGATTTGGGGTGAACTTTTAAGACTCCTGCGCCATATTGCTGACTGATAGTTTGCTCTCTCACAATACTTTCGTAACGTGTCCTGGCATGGAGGAAGCTGGTGTGACTCTAACTCTCCTTTCCTAGCGCAGAAGGGACGGTAACGCAACACGTTAACATCCTTAGTTCCAGGATTTGAAGAGTACATCAGGCACGTGAACTCTTGGAGACGCACAAATAGCTCATTCTATAATTCCCATTCCACGCCAAGCTGTTGGAATAACTCTTGGTATGCAGGACGTCGCTTTACTAACTTTAACGCCGTCAGTTTTCCTTTTCCAGAAAATGCGCTGACACTATCACATCCAGTGAAAGCATGCAGACATTAGGAAGACATTTGCAAATCCTAGAACCATGACGTTCGAAGACATTTGTAATGCTGACAAACCTTGTTCGAGTCTGTGTACTGCATTTCAAATACATGGTAGCTGGAACAAAGTCCTTAAATGCCAGGCAAAATACAAGTACATCGGTATCTTCTGATGATATAACAATAGCCTTGAAACCATTCCTTGCTGCATGAGATGCGTGAAGAAGAAGTCTAGTGTCTGCTCCCTCTTGAGTTGACGTCAGCTATTCTCTTGGTCTGAAATTATCTGCTGAAATCTCAACACAACTTTCCTCGGTCGTCGTGAAAAGGTGTTTCCCTGTTAGTCTTTGCCTGAACCTCTCTTTCTGCCATTCTTTAGTGACAACTCTAATCAACTGCTTCTTGTTCTGAGGGTTCAATAAGAACTTCCTCCATTGTTGTATTCTGTGATCTGGCTGTATATTTCTGTACTCGATTCCCGTGTATCACCCTCTCTTCTCTCTCTGTGTGTTCTTTATCGACGTTTCTCTATAAACATCGAAGACGACGTCAATACGCTTACTCGTTGCACCTTCTCGCAGGATCATAGACATCAAAACATCAACCATTTTCAGCAAATGTCTTATGGTCTCCTTTGAGCCTTTGGACCATGGACATGCCATCAATGATGCACGCAGATGGGTTTGGGATGGCTTCAACCGATGGTATATCTTTATGGAGTTCCTTTGCTAATGTACTCTTGTTAGTTTTTCTTAAGGAACCATCAGGAGAGGCTAGTGCCCAGGGAAGAGGCCCCAGAGGATGAGACAGCACTGAACTCATAGTAAGCTTTCTTGTTTCAGCTATTACGATCATCTGTGCAAACAATCTTCTGTCCGCTCTCACTATGATTTCGTTTGCAGTTCCCTTTTGGACTACCATTTTCTTGCTTAGGTGAGCGAAGGTCTTGAGATTTACCTTTTTCATTGCGTCGAAAAACTTCTCCTTTGCTGGATTCGATTCTAGTCTCTGTTGACTGAAGCAGCGGTAAGCTCTCTCACCAATATCGTGAGCCTCGAGAAGATCTTTTTCGATTTGTTCGGTTGCCATCCGGTGGATAAACAAACAAGATCTTGTTTTTCGATTGCAAATGGATTTATCCAACTATCCAATATTGATAGCAATGACTTCACATCACTTTCGTCTCTGGAGATCCTGGTCTTCTGGAGGTCATTGTGTAGACAGCTTGATGTATTTAGTTGAAGCATGTCCTTTAAGTTGCGCATAAAAATGCTTCTATACTCAGCTACTAAGTAATACTTGCTCACAGCCTGGGGTTTTAGACTGAATCCTTTTGTACCTCCCGGAGTTTTCGTGTCTCTGTCGACGGTTTCTTCGCAAGCTTGATCCACAGGTATTTTTCCGAAAGGGTTACTTTCTCCTATCTGCACGGCAAATCCACCTGACTCCAAATACTCGAGAACACTGGGATGGTCGTTTTCGAGATGCGCCATGTCTGACAAATACGACGAAAGATACCTGTAATAAAATGCAATTATTTTAAGTATCTGCGTTTTGTTTTATCGTTTCTGATGAACATATAATTCGGCAGCTAGGGCAATAAATCAATGGAAGTGTGCCAGGTATCGAATTCTTATAGGAGCCATGTCATGGTTCCACAGGTGTTTGGTCAAAGCTGAGCCGAAATTTTAACTGTGGTCCATCAAATCTTGTCATTCTTAAAACTCAAAAAAGAGATATTGAATGATTTTATCAAGGAGAGAACAATAGAGCCGAAGACATAGGCTTGCAGTCGAGGTATGCAAGTAGAGTAATTTTAGCCGATAGAACTGAACCGTTACTTTAGGGTTTTCTGCGATTCTAATTTGTTCTTAGGGGTGTAAAGTAATACAAAACCATTGTGACATAACTTCTTTGAACCTACGATTTCCAAACTATTCATTTCTTATTAGCTTTGTACACATACAAACACATTTGCTAAGAAATATCTGGCATAGTTAATATTGTCATATGCGAAACACCACGGTACCATGTTCCTTACGCATGACAAATGGAGCTTCCAATCACCCTCTCTTGACGCTCTTTGTAGTCCCAGCAATATCTCCATCATGTCCAGGTAGGAAACCCAGAACTGTGATAAATTTCCGTTCTTGTACCGAAGATAGTCCATGTACTGGTCGTAAAGGTCAGTTAACACGACGAAAGATTGACTTTTAAGTTTGTCTTGGAACTCGGTGTCACAAATCTTGTCATACAAACTCGCAAGTCCATTAACGGCGTCATATACCGCTCTCTTCTTACTTTGTTGATTTTCTGTCAACCAATTCTCAAATCCCGTCCATGCCATTCGCATAAAGGCTTCGTACATGAGTTTATGGAACCTCACAGCTCTGTTATATCTCCGGCCTTCTAAAACTCCACACACGGAACCCTCGGTGATGACTCCGGATTCTATGCAAATGTCTTTCAACCCAGCATCCTGAAATCTCTTTCCAATTATTCCCAGGAACGTACATATGGTGTGAAATACTCCCATTCTTAAAACTATACTCTGAAACCTCTCAGTGTGCTTCCATTTTATCTCGGTGGCCTTACCATATAACGCTTGGTCGAACACAACAACTATAGCTTGAAGCTTGAGGGTTTCCTTGATCTTTAATGACTGATTCAAAATCTCGAATACTGTTGACATGTTCGTCGCAGGTGCATCGATAGTTGGCAAATATCGTATGTTATCTTTCCTCACTTCGATCTCATCCCGCACTAAGATATTAAACCCTGTCCACCCACAAACGTTCTGCTTTTCGGCAGCATGGAGCCGAACAGGAATCGACAAGAGATTCTTCTTCCAAGCATTTCTTTGTATCTCTGTTGAGGATACTTCAACATAGGATCTTGGAGGGGGACCACAGCGCTCTCCTGCATTATAGATGGGAAGATCGCATTCGCTTACTACTTCAAGGCTTCTTTGTTTGGACTTCGTTATTACAGGGGTCACCTGGGCTGGAGGAAGATCGGGACCAAGATGTCGAGCTTGTATTGCGATGCCATTCACTCTATGCGACGTCCCCCCACCTGAGAGTGTTTCCTCTAATCTGTCGATGTTATCCTAGGCAAGCAATGTACTGATGTAAGGCTTGATGTTGTCAGGAAGCGGGACGGCATTTTCCGGGTCACTGCCATTTTCTGAAGACCCAACGCTGTGTTCAATTCTTCGATTTGTGAGTAGGCTACCCCATGTCCACATCGATTCAAGATCTGAATTAGTTCTACGTTATTTGTCAAGGTCTTGACAGCATAGGGAAGTAATATCTGTTTTGGAGGTTTCTTTCGGACCGCCAGTCACTCCAAATACCATGTCCTGCCCAAACGAGTTGACAAGCCGCTGGACTTTTGATGAGTACGGTTCTTCTGGATACTTTGAATTTCCTGTTAACAAGGTAGCTAGAAACACTCTGACTTCATCAGGGAGATTTATTTCCTCTTCAGTGAGCTGGGAAGGCTTAGGAGGCCACGACATCTCGTTTTCTTTGCAACATATGGCTTTCCGAACTTCTAGAGCAACTCGTCGGATGTCATCCATTAATGATGCTTGACCTTCGCACTGCAGTTGCTGTAATCGCGCTACTTCTTTAGCCAACTGAAGTCGTGACAAGTTGGCAGGGATAATAAACACACTGTTGTTACCAAGCAGGTCTCCAAACTGTAATAAACTGCCAAACTCTGCCTCAAGTTTCCTGCGAAGATGTGTCTTGGAGGACTCTTTAGTTTCCTTAATGCCCAGATCTTTCATGTAGGAGATCATCGTTTGAGTAAGATCAGTGAGCCTTATTAGATTAGGCGTCACCAGTACGTTATTCCTGACGTAATCGAAAAGCTTCTCATACGCTGCTGACTCAGTGCAAGCATATTCATCATCCTGAGATGTAAATGATAAAGTCGAGGAGGTGCCTGTTTCTTGTTTTGGCCGGGTGTATTCTCTGTAGCAAGTTCCGTGATAGCATGCCTCAGCTGCTACCAAATCTCGTGACACAATAGCTAATAACTTGCTATCATTCTTTGCCAACGCAGTCTTTTTAATATTTTCGTCTGCACGCAGATCAATGCACTGTATCAGTTTTTCCCGCACATCTTTGCCTTTAGCGTACTTACTAACTTTGTCACAGAAAATGCAAACTCGTTTATACGTTGTGCTTTTTGTTGGGGGTTCCCGAATAGACGATCTTCTTTCTGATAATTCTGGCTCGTTGCATTGAATTCTCTCTTTACCGTAATGTTGTCAAGATCTCTTTTCATAGTAAAAGTACTGCGGTATTTACGGTGGTATGTAATGGTTGGAAGTTCTTCTCCAACCACTGTTTTGGCGAGATCTAAAATTGGTGCGTACTGCCGAATTTCGGCGGCCCTTACAAGCGTTTGCCATGACTGCAAGTCTTGCACTGATGATAGGTCACCAGAATCTTTGGTACAATGGGAGTATTAAACAGTCATTTCTCATTTCCAGACAAAGACGTTTCTTATGGGGTCCATCTGATTCTATACTGATAATCCTCTTAAGCTTATTTTCTAAAACATTAAGATAACAAGGCTATATTTGTGAAGACTTTCGTGAAAGTAGGCCAGTAAAAGAAAAAAAAATATCAACATTTCACTGTCTGGAACTTAAACAAATCTCAAGCATTTCTTCTAAAACCCTCATAGCATTAGCCAGCTTCTCTTTCATACACCTCCGGTTAAGTTTATCCAATAATTTGTTATTTATAATGTTTTTACAATGATAGAAATCGGTAAATGAAAAGTCAAGTTCGACTTATAACTAGAGTTTTGAAATCTAGTTCACACCTCGAAGGTTGGTAAGTTTTTGCATACTTTTTACCGAACACTGCTGCAAAAATTGTTTAATTTTGTCTAATTGTATTTCAGATACAATTATTATGTTGTAAATTGCTCTATTGTACATCGAAATAAAGGATATTCCTAATAAAGAGCCAGAAAACCTGACCAACAACTTACCTGAGAGATTATCCGCCATCTTGGATTACCCATGATGCATTACAAAGGCAGCTGAAAGTAAAATCGCTATAAAACAATTTTTTTTACGTTGTTTTTATTCTTTATTAGTAGCATCGAATACAAATTTCATCTCTTCCTTTGTTTTAGAAGGTTTAATGTTTATCTTTTCTTCTCTGGCACTATTTTTTTAGATGTTCATTTATCTGTATCGTGGTGACCTGTACTCTGACCAGTGGAAAAGTGTATTTTAGCTCTGCCGGTAGGCACCTGATGCAGCCTCAACTAGCCTCAAATGTTTTTTCCCATAATTTTTTTGGTAAAATGAACCTATGAACCTATTTTATTTATTTTTTTTAAAAAGCAGATATATCTAATTAACTTGACATATATATGAGCAAGGGTTCCACCCCTGTTGGCTAACGCAATTTTTACAAAGTTTCTTTCACCCATTATTTCAGAATTGAAATAAGTGACCATTATGGTGTATCTGAAGGGTCTGATGATACTCTACCAAATGAAACAACTGTAAACTTTATTAATGAAGTCAGCTCTAAGGTGATCAGTCATTTATTAGTCCTAAGAGCCCGCCATCAATCATCATCAAGAAAGTTCTTTTGAAACTGTCTGGTTACAAAGTGCTTGACTAATCATACTGTAATTAAAGTAACTGAAAAATTGCCTGCTCATTAATAATATTTCAGAACCGGCCTGTACATTTTACAGAGAAATTATAACGAAATGAATACAAAAAATGGTTAGTTATATCATCAAGGAGCCAGATTTACAAAACCTTCCTAATTTAACCCTTTCTTTTCTAAGAATGCCCCAAGTGACAGGGCTAAGTATTTAACAAGTTGATACATTTTATACTGCCAGTCAACAGTCAACGACAACTCCAATGTCATTGCAACCCTGATCATAACCAATTTTCTTCTTTATCTAATACAGCTGTGGTGTCAATTTTTCTAAATCTTTGTTCATGGCGACGTAGTTTACGCTCAAACTTGGGAGGTATTGACCTTAAAAAACTATATCAAGCCACCTTAAATCTGAACAAAAGAATGTGAATAAATCAAAAGTGGTCGCACTTTTGGGCTCCCTGTTGAAAAAGTTAACAATAACAACAACAACAACGACAACATTTTTTTGGTAAAATCCTGAGGAATGAGTGGTTCTATGCTAAAGTTCTACCAAAGTGGTTCATTTGAACAGTAACATGGGGTTTAACCTTGCAAGTTTCAAAGTTAGCAAGGGAAAGAAATAATCTTGTTATATTAAACACTGTACTTAAATTGACAAGTTGGTCATGGGTCCCGCATTCCCCCAGCAAGGCGCATCAATATCCTTTCTTGTACTGCACAACTAAATCAAAGTATTGTCTACAAAACAATACGGTACCTTTAGGCTGAACAAAAAATCTGAAGCATTTAATTCTGACAATTCTAGCAAAAAGATCTATAAAAGTCATCCAAGGTCACTGCACTTCCATCTTAAATTGTGGAAGCTCATTTTTCTCCTTTGAATTCTTGCAGCTTTAAAACCTAGTCTACTCTTTATTTAGCTTTGCTTACAAGTTGAGCACACACGGGTCCACACAGTTTGCAGGTATACAATAATGGAAAATCGTCCATCTTGTTTTACTAGTAATTCTCACCCGCTAGTTTCGATATTATGGCAGAAGTTGATCACCTGTCCTTGTCTAACCACCCTGTGTTAAAGGTGGATATCCTTGGAATCAGAAATTAAGTATGCGTTTGAAGAGGAATGCAGGGTTAGATCTCTCCCTCACTCTCTCCCTCTCTTGGACCAAGGTTACAGACACTGTCACTGACTAGTAGTCAAGACAACTGATGCGTGGGCCGGCTGTAACGCAGGTTATGGTTGCACAGAATGTTATAATGGAGTATGGATTGGTTGAAAAACAAGACTCTCAGTTGGGTAAAGAGAACAGGAATTCAGCAAATTGGCCTTGCTTCACACAATCTCTGTCTATTGGAAGATAGGGGTAAGGACTTGAAAATGTAAATGTCACACCAGCTATTTTCACACTTGCTAAGCCTTCACATCCGCTTGCAGATTTCGGTCCAGACATTATGACCTTAATATAGTACAGAGTGTTCTTTTTCAAGGAAGGTTTAGAGTTAAAAAGAACTTCAAATCCATGGTAGCTTAAATTTTGGCATGATTCTAATAGCTTTGAAGGATATGTTGAACTTTCCAATTTCACCAAAGGTACCGGTGATACAGACAAATATGGGTTGCCTTGGTATAACTCTAATGTATCTAAGTTGTATAAGTTGCTCTCACTGCCAAATAACCGCACTCCATTTAGAATTATGTCTTTGTCCACTTGAAATTCAATAACATCCCTATTGAATCCGTCACAATCCCAAGAACATCTTTGCATCAGGGTAAACCTTCCACAACGGTGAAGACATGAGCGTCTTCGAGTCTCCGAGAACCCTAAGGGCGGAGAGATCTCTTGTGAACTAAAAAACTTAAAAAAAGTGACAATTTCATCCGGAGTAAGAATCTTTGCATCAAGAACGACACCAGCAAACTCCTCTTGCTTCATCACTGCATAGCGTATTGCTTTAATAATTTCCTCGCCAAGAATTCTTCTTTTTAGTTCACCGTCAGTTGCTAAGCCCTGCTTTCTGCATTGATTGATCGCCCATCGATCACAAGCTTTAAACAGCTCGGCTTCTCTGATCTGCAGCTTTTCTCGTTGGACCAAAGCTTCAAGCAAGGTCTTCTCAATCGTCTCAAATCCATCTGCTTTCAAAGCCTGTTCAGTCTGACTTTCGATTACTTTCCAACATAGATCAACCAGGTTCTTCTCTTCATATTTCAGGGCAGTTGGCAAGATGGTGAAAACGTTCGAAGGATCCAATTTATCTTGGAGATAATCCTTGCATTTTTCAGCAAGCGAAGGAACCATGTACTTCTTGGCCAAATAGAGTACTCCCAGTACATTACTTCCGCTTAAGTTTACTTCATCGCTGTACAGGTAACGAAACAACTCCAACAAACTCTCGTAATCACAGTCAGGTAGTTGAATAGTGTCTTTAGTTTCCGCTAGCTCACCATAAAACATGGCTTCAAACACAGGACTGCCAATGGAAAGCACAAACTTGTGAGCAGTGATCAAACGATCAGTTTCACTTTCGCCGTCGCTTCCTCGAACACTAAACTTCACATCGCTCAAGCGTTCATTATTGAACATAAATTTGGTTCTCTCTCTGACGGTGGATCTTGTTACTTGCCAGTTAGTTTGAACAGCCATGATCGCTCTGCGAAGTGACACTTGTGGACAACGATACGTTCAGTGTTTAATCGGTAGCAAATTATTTCTTTCTATGCCTTAAGACAACGCCCGCTTTAGGGAAAGTTCATTTAATATGACAAGCGGGGGGGATGAAGATATTGAAACTCGAAGCTTGAAATTTTAGCAGCCCCGCTCGCTGGCGGTTCAATTTTTAGGCCCCCCTCCTTGGTAGTCGAAAAAATTTCAGAGCCCCCCCCCCCCTCCTTCAATTCCTTTGCTCCCCTGAAAAAGGATCGCTAGACTGTATTAAATATATTTACCGTTATCGTCTTCAATGGTTTATATTATGACAAACTTGAGATACAGTTGTGATACAATTTTCTAAAGCATTTTTGGGATGAACAAGAGTGTAATAATTACTGAGACTACATTTGTTATATCTGTAAACCACGTAATATAGGTGAGTTGCAAAGGTCATTAAATTGTTGAGTTGAAAACCATCCGATCTGTATGATGATGTCATGTGTTGGTTTTGAAGTATACAAATTTTCGGAGCCCCCCTCCTAGCGCAACAATTTTTTCAGAGCCCCCCCTTCGGGTGTCTAAAAATTTTCGGAGCCCCCCCTCAATATCTTCATCCCCCCCGCCTTGTCATATTAAATGAACTTTCCCTTAGCACAAATGTTAGTAAGTTGCGCCTGTAGAGGTCACGCGATTCCACAAGACGTCACGAAAGCATGATGGCGTGGGGTAAATGCTCTTTTTTCCTGCGCGCACAGCGCGCTGTGTAAATATCCGCCCTGATAAATAGCCTATGTAGCAGACGATTTTTAGCGCAACAAAATGATGTTATGTTGGAATAAGGTTGTCACCATTCAAAACAATGTCGGAATAATGTCGATTATTTTTGCAATGCTGTGTTGCGCTAAAAATTGTCTTTGCGAATATAAATCGTCTCGTGTGACATCACCTTAAGAAGTGAAACTGCCCGTTTTATGAGGGACGTGAACTCAAGACAATGACTTAATTTTCTCAGTTTTCTTGAACTTCTACGGTCCTTTAGAATTCAACTCCAGAAAAATTTGCCAACATTTGACGAAATGAACGAGATGGAGGGGCGCGTGTGTTGGGTCAGTTTCGAGAACTACTTTCGCCTGATCAATGTTTAAAAGAACAAGGTATATACATGTGTATCGCTTTTTTTGTATCATGGCTGAGAGAACGAAGCATAAAAATATACAACGCTCGATATCGCGCAGTGGAACGTTTCCCTTCTTAGCGGAACGATGGACGACGTTTACGAACGGCACGTTGGCGAAACGACCGTTCACCGGCCCGAGAGAGGCTTTTTCCCTCTTCCCATCTTCCCCCGCGCGCTTATGTTTATCGCTGTTTTTCTTGCTGTTTTTATTGGAATACCCAGGTTCAACAAAGAAATTTTTTTTCTACCACCGTAAAAAGATTCATTGGCTGACGTTTCACAAGCGCTCCGCTTTGACGAAGGGTTAGCAATGGAAATGCCATTATCCTTAGTCAAATTAAAGGGATGCCCATGGCACACCTTGCTTGATGCACTAAAGGGGGGAAAGTTAATACATTTTATTCACTTTTCTGTTCGCCATGTGTACAATTTAAACTTATAGAATGAAGATGATGAAGTTTTCCCGAAATCGTCACGTCGGCACTAAGGATGCACGAGACTGTGAGTAAGGAATAGATGGACGACATTGAAAAAAGTGATCACTCCGATATGGGATATTTAAAATTACTATTTTAGATAGTTTTTAAAAACGCAGAGTGGAGATGCAGTGATCTACAATGAGGTTTATCATGAGCTAAAATCAATAGCGTACAACGAGCCAAAATATAAGTAATTTGCAGCTCTAAGGACAGGAATTTTGAGGGAACTTTAATAGTAAGATAGAGACAAGAGAAGGTCAGGGCCAAAAGTTTGTTGAGCTCCCCGTAAACTTACTACATTAACTATGTATCCTCTGAGTATATATAAAGTTGCTCTTCTTTAACTGAAACTTTAAGGCATTGTTTGTGCATTTGACATGTCAACATCCATAATACCAACTATCTGAAAACAAGACGTCTTTACGCAAAAAAATGCGAACGACAACAACTCGAGTCCAATGCATACATAATAAAAAGATTTATTTTTGTTGAGTTATTTTCACGTAAATTACACGTTTCTGAAATAACGTACAAAATATCGAAGGAAAAGACCCGAAAGAAAACGTAAAATCCGCAAAATGATGATGGATTGGAAATAGGGCCTTCAACATTAAAAGAAATCCGCGATTCTAAAATGAAATGTTTGGCCACAGTCAGACGTCAAACTTAGGGAGCTGACGCAAAGACGTTTTCAAGCGACGCACATCAACCGGAAGTGGACTTTTGGCATTCTTGGGCAGTGGTTTTGCCAAAATTTTCGGGCAAATCGTGTCTTTTAGAGTAAAGACACTTAGCAATAAAAATGTGGTAGAGTCAAGGCATATTAAAAGGGAATTTAAGGCATCACTTCTGGTCAATGTGCGTTGCTCAAAAACGTCTTTGCTTAAGTTCCCTAAAGCAAATGAGCAAGAACAACATGTTACTAGCCTGTGTAAAGCCGCCCCTGCCCTCAAACAAAATCGGAACAGAGCGGCTGTACGCAGGCTAAGTAATATCTGTTCATTCCAAATAGTTAAAGCTTTGACTCGTCAATGAGTTTCCCTGTGTGAGCAGTTAGAAGCCATTATTAATTGGAAAAAACTGAACACTAGCGCAACATGCAATTCTGAACGCTTGCCGAACACAACTGTTTCGCAATAAGCATCACATGCAGCCCTAGATTCTAGCTGTCATAAGCCAAATGTTCAACTGGCACAACATGCCATCATGAACTCTTGCCGTAATCAACTAAAGCCAAATGCTTTCTTGTCCAGTCTTGTTAAGCATGAGAAACTAGAAAAGCATACAATCTTGAACCAGTTGTTGACACACACTATAAAATAAACGTACAACTAGAACAACGTGCAATTCCAACTTCTTGCAACCACAGAATGTGACAGCGAACTGTTTTTGGCCTCAACAAACTTGTCTCTTAAATGCCTGAGTTGCTGGGGTTAAAGTGAATTTTTTGATCTTGAGGGAAACCATCGGCTATGCCACACACTTTTGCCTCTCCTAACAATGTCACGTGACCATTATCAAGAAAATGAAGTACTAGTAAGACTGTCGGCAGTCTCATTTTCCGATGACCTTGTGCATGGAACAGAGTCTAAGGAAGGTCTTCTTAGTCTTTCGTGTTGATGAGTCCGTATACTCGCTAGTTTTTGAGTCTGTAATTTTACACATTCCAGAATTTCCCTTCCTTGTTGGGTCAAGAATTGAAATTCTCCCTCGCCGGCCTTGCAGCCTCTGAAAATATAAGCAAAAGGGATGTTCCTCAATAAAGTCATCAACAAATAAAAATAAACACAAACAAACTAGTTGAGGATCCCCTGTGGACACCAGTAGGGAAACTGCACCGAGCTAGCTTTTGCAAAGACTTTTGGGATGGTTACTGAGGATGCACTGGTCAGCTATTGGCCAATTTTTTCCCTGTCCCTAGTGGCAGTACCAGAAGTCTTTTAGTTAAAACCCATCTTCCCTCTCGTTTCTAAAGTGGTGAATGTACCTGAATGGGCTGCCACCCTTGGTTAGTCTGGGTTCTCTTTAGACTGGGTGACTGTAAGTGATGAACAAATGCAGCCGTCTTTCCTCACTCTTCATCACTAGGGACGTTTTGAGGAGAGACATACTTAAATTTTCTTTTTGCACTATTATAAGGACTGTGAGTGAGCAGTGGACCCTTATTTTCCTCAGGAATCTATTAAAATGAGTGCAAAAAGGAAGCACAAGTGAAATTGTTGTGCATAAGGTGAGACAACACACTTGCTCTACCATCATCGGGGGTTTCAATAACCACCCACTGACAACTGACAAAACGCGTCAGCTATTTTGCTCAGAGAAGCTGGCTACTTTTCCCCCATAATTGAGGCTGGGAAAGAAGTCTTAACGAACGATTCTGACAAAACTTTAACTAAAAAAAAACATTCTTTACCGTTATTTAAACTCTTCACTGATCAGCATTGAAAATAACAAAAAGACACTACTGTTGATAAAAAATCTTACTATATCTTTCTTCTACTTAATTTAGTGCCAAGAACACCGAAAATCGCATTTAATACCACTTCCAAAGACTTCAAATTTTCAGGGGGAGCAGGCCCCTAGACTCCCCTAAGAAAAATTAGAAGAGAGCCTTATTCAGACTTGCTGGCTACTTCAATTCTTATTGAAACCCATGACCATCCCTGAGAAAAGAGGGACTGGGTTATTTTTAGCATTGTCAGACTGAGTGTACTACTGGTATTCAAAAACCCTTGTTCAGCTGCCTAAAAGGAAAATTAACCCTCACCTTGCCACTTGAAATGTCAACACTTTATCTAAGTCCTGCAAATGTGAAAGTCTTTGAAGTCGAAATCTTGGAAGATGGTCCAACTCCCATTGAAAAACCCTTTCTCCTGTTTTTGCACTATGAAGGCATAGATACTCTTTCCGAACAGTCATTAAATAGTTCCCTGCAAGTTCAAGTCTATCAGAGTCTTCTGTAGGAATCACATTTACTTCATATAGTCCTGTAACCAAGACAAAATGATGAGTATGTATGGTTAGTAAGTCTCTTAAATATTCAGTCATATCCTGTCTTAGTCCTCCACAAACAAGATTCAAACATTGCTTCCTTGGATCTTTGACTGCCCCAGCAGAACCCCAGAAAGAGAATTCAAAAGGTTAACATACACTTTTGTCTACCAAGGCTATTATCCTGCTAATGCAGATGCATTTCCAATTTAACTTTTTGTAGGTGAAGTCTAAGTAACAACCAGAAGCACATCTGTAGTCACCGGCTACCAAGCCTTCAAAATTTTGAATGAAATTGGACGAGTACTTGCTCACAGAGGCTAACAATCTCGATCTCAACGATCTTATGGAAAAATACAGGACTGTGAACAGTCTAGAGGGTTATATGATCTAGGTTTTCTATCAACTCGTTGCTTATGGTTCTTTGAGAAGGGAGTTGGCAATTTCAAGCTCATGACAGCTGTCAAACTTATCATATTTAGTCACATAATTGTGACCCAGTGTAGATGCATTAATAACAATCTTCCAAAGTGAACTGTTTGATGTTAAGTACGAAGTTCAACTTTGTATTACACTTACCGTAAATATCTCCTGCCTGTACTGAAGGGTATAATTTTGGCTCCGGAAGAACAAGCTCTTTGATGAGCTGAATCCATTCTTGAGTCTCTTTCTCAGTATCAGCACTCAAAAAAATTTTGATTTCTATTCCCACAAGTAAAAAACTAAAACTATGTGTCCTTGAGTAAGCTTGTGAAACAGATGTTAAGTCCTCTAATGAAATACTCGTGCGATGCTTTCCTTCAGAGCAGGCTTTCTCTGTAAGGTAGTACTCTAATCGAGCATGTCCTCGGGGAGACTTCCGCCTCAAAACAAACCATTTTCTTTTCCAAATCTAAAACAGATAAAATAATTCACAAAATTTATGGTAATTCAACAACTTTTACATATATCATAAAGAAAATACAAACTAAGGAGATCATAAATATATTTTTTAAATCAGCTGTGTCACATCACGTCGTGCATAATTTATTCATTAAGAAAGTGCTTATAAACTGCTAAATTAGATTACTTTATGTAAAAGGCCATAGTCCAGTTGAACTATAAGTGAAACTATTGAGCTACAGCACTTAATGAATTCACTGGGTGAACTTTTTATGTCTTGCAGGGAATTAGTTAGTAGTTGAGAAAGAATGTAGAGCAAATGTTGAGTTTTGTTTGATTGACCATGACATGGTTTTGTGCCCTGCGAGCTCTTTCTGACATATATCAGGTGACATCTTTTAAGCTCTAATAATAAAAATTTTCAGGAAAAATAATGAAAAAAACGAGGATTATTGAAAAATAACAATAATAATACATAAACATAGACAAGGGTCTCATCAGCTGTAGAGTAGTCTTGCAGTTTGTGTTTTATCTTAAGCCTAAGGAACAATCAGTTCTTTAAATGAAGATATGATTGTCACAGTGGTAATTGCACAAATTACCCCGAAAAAAATTTCGGGACTTGAACGGTATTCTGACAGCCATGGCCCAGGGCTGTGTTAGTACTCAACAAATTGGCCTGCTGCCAATGTATGGGTCTTCATAGCTCAATTGGTTAGAGCACTGCAGTGCTAATGCAGAGGCCATGGGTTCGAATCTGGTTCAAGTCCCGAAATTTTTTGGGGTTAATTTGCAATAAATTGCTAATGAATTAAATATGCAATTACCACTGCAACAATCATATCTTTATTTAAATTTGTATTTCTGCAGTTCCCATCATCATTCTAAATCAGTTCTTTCTCATGTTTTTAAAGTTGAAAAAAAATTCTAGCCAGTACATGTAACTGTCCGGATCATCTGAACTGCCAAAGTTTTGTCAAAATGTTGCAAACAATGTGACTTCTAACACAATGAGAGATGATCCATATACACGTAACATGCTGGGGCCATTGTGATTGTCTGAAGTCTATAATATTATTATAATTTACAGACTGATTGTCATTTAATAACTGTCTAGATCAACTCAGTTAATACCAGGTGAACTAGATGACCCCTACCATGATATAATAAATTTAGAATTCAAACCAGCTTTACATTCCATGTTTATTATCATTCTCATCATAATGATAAAAAAAGATGTCCTCAGACATAATGAATCAATTTTATTCTTTTGCAAACTAAAAAATGAATTTTTAATTAATTAACTTCAAGGAAAGTAAGGCCAAATGCAAATGCAAATGGAAACATTTTAAATTCTAACATATAAGCAAGCCGGACAGTCAGTAAGATTTTAAGTTGCCAGGTATATGCAATTAGTGGCGGGAGATTGAACAGCTAAGAAAGATGAAGTCTTTTGGTCATATTTTCCTTTAGTTTCCCACGAAAAATATAGCTGGGAGGTCAGGCTCATAATCCCCTGCTCCCAGGCCTTACTGACAGCCCTTTACATAATGGGAATGCTTAACTTATTCCTTTTGTGTTTCTTGCTGCAGGACATAGTAAATTAGGCACACTTATAACAAGTAGAAGGATCAGATGTAAGAACAGTCACATATTGTTCTTACTTATTCATCAGGGTGCTATTTTCTTGACTTTGCAGTTTGACTCTTCTGTCAGCATGATCAGGGCTTTCCCAAAAAAGCTGTTTCAAATGAGTGAAAGGCTCCATACCTCTCCCCTGGCCACTTCATTTCCATTCAGAGGGGATATTTTTGCATATTGTAGCTTAAATAAGGCTAGTTAACTTAGGGAAAATACCAGATGATATTTCATACTTGTCTTCTTGTTTCTGTACACAGTATTACCATAACAGTTCAAGGTCCATTTTCCATGCACTTACCGCTCTTTTGTTTTCCATAAGAAAATTAGAACATAACACTCTTAACAATCTATTTTGGGATCATTCGTCACTTCAAGTACATTACCTTGCCACTCAAATCTTAAATTATGTCTAGGCATGTTCAAAACAACAAAACATGTGGATATATACTGGGCATCTGCCAATTTGAAAAGATGTCAAAACAAGTGGACTGCCTGGTGGAGAATCGAATAACAATCTGAGACACCTGCTTGCACAAGTGGCCTACATACAATTAAACTATACAAGTGAGGACTTTAAAACGGGTTTTAAATCGTCATTTTTGAATTTAAAATGAAAGAATGAACTATAACAAATATATTCCGTTCATCTGTCTCCAAATTGCTTGATATTGGTGGAGTATGACAATCTTTTTAATTTACGATTTCAAATATAGTTTTAAATTACTAGTATACCGGTAGAATTCACAATTTCAGTTTTACAAGTAAATGAAGGGATGGTACTAAGTAAATAGTGGTGTTTTCATGCAGTAATTTAAAGGTAGAGGGTGGCAGTTAAAACACATCTCGCAAATACTGGTATATTTGATTTCAAAGAAATACAGCATTTTGACGAGTTTGGATTTGTTTGTTCAAACTTGTTTTTGAACCATCTCCTCAGGGGGTACAAATTTAAGAGACAAAACTAATTGCTCAACTTAAACCTTTCCTAATTTAACACTAAAATGATGCCGTTGTTTGTGCTGAACCGTTACTTAATCTTTTTGCGCTGAACAGTATTGTACAGGGTTGAAAACTTTAGTCAGAGCTGAAGCAGTAACAAAAATCCTGCCACCAAATATTACCACATAGGGCCATAATTTAGTTTCTATGTGTACTTTATATGAGAGCAGATTTGGTCTATTTAAGCTTATTAAACTGAAAAGTATTGGTAGAAACTTGTTTAGTTCACTGCTATCTTAAGTACTTTTTCTATGTAAAAGAAATATCGTCTAGCGATCAATATGATGTTACCAGCAATAAATTTCATCCTCCTCGATGTTTACATCTTGTCTATTATTGTTCATGTTGCTTGCACATGCATATTTTAAATCTTATTCTTAAAACTGCAGGTTTTGCCCCAAAGCAATTCCAAAACGGAACACGGAATCCTTTTCTAACGATATTTATGACGAGAAACGATCTTAAACTACTGGCAAGGGAACAATAAGCGTACATCTTGAACAGATATCAATATATCGATGAAAAAGACAACAAGTCACGGTTTAAATATAATCCTGGACTTGTTTACACGAAGCCACATTCTCATCTTGGTAAAAAAAATTGACAATGTTAAGGACCGTTTCCTTGAAGCATAGAAAGAAGATCGATATACAGCAAAATTTGAGAACTTAGTGAGAATTCTATAAGCAGTCTTCGCACTGAATAAACATAATCTGATACATTTCAATAGCCAACACAACACGATGACAACCATTTGCAATTTGAGTGAAATTGACAAACGCCGTCAACTCATGCAAGGAAAAAAGAACGTTCATTTTGCCTAAAATTGAATGTTTAGTTCACTGTCCTTAGGCAATAACTAAACATCGACTAGTGAATGAAAAACTAACTCTGTTCAATTCAAATATCGATGAATAATTACAATGTCTTTTAGCAGCTGAACAACTTGTTTACTCGGCGAAAGCGTTGTAGTGAGGGTTGAAATTGTACGCTCTTTGCCATATATGCCGCTTGCATTTGCGAACAGTTTTTTTTTCTACAATATTTTCGGCGTATAGATTGGAAAGACTAAGACTCAAACGCTTCAATTGTGTCCAGAAATAGCTGTGCTTCAAAATAAATCAGAGTAAACAGTACATTCTACATTACGTATGCACCGTTCATTCATTACGGGGAACGTGAACAGAATTCATTAAAATACTAGGTGGACTTACCAAGAGAAAAAAAGCTACCGACAGCTAAAAAACAGAATTGTTCACATCTAACCTTGTGTGTTAGTTTCCTTTGCTTTCGTGGTAATTTCATCTCCAAAAATCCACACTTGACTAAATCCTCGACATAACTGGCCATAACTTTCATCTTCTACAATATTTTAAAAGCGTTCGCGTCCTCTTAAAAATTTTCTACCACTCACGGAGAAAACGGCAACAGATCCCAGCGATTTACAGTTTGCAGTTAAAAGGTGCAAAGCTTTGCGTATACATCCTTAAGTACAAGGAAAGACCAAAGCGAAACCGCTCAACACCGGAGTTGTTTGTCAACCGAAAGCTTTTGTTTTTCTCGCACGCTGTCGCGAGGGTGGGGGAGTGATACGCTCGTCCCAATCCCCTCTTGGGTGGTCGATAACAACTTTCTAGTCACGCAGTTCACCCCGTCAGTTCTAAATAAAAACGGTTTCTACCACGCGATTTACCGCTTGATTGTTTTCTATCCCTACCAAGTAATGGGCTATTTATTTCTCTCTTTCTCTTTTATTTTATTTTGGTTTTTAGATAACGCAACAACAACAAAATGATGAACCAATAAAGGTGATCAACAACGAAAGCCAGTTTTCTACAAGCTTTTCCAACTGCTTTTAACTGTGACAAACCGGAACTGAAGTGAAGACGGAATTTTACTTATTATTAAAGTGGCTTTTGTTGCGGTTTTTGACCACATCGCAAATATAAACACTATGATCAAGATGAAGCGCGTTTCAGCATTCCAAAGAGCATCCACGCGACTAACCAAATTATAGCTGCAACAGCCTCGAATGACTGTGTTTAATGCGATGACTCAAAGGATCTACCAGTATCGTTCGTTGTAGGTTTGCCCACAGTTTCGCCCTGCTATCACTTACTTTTAGGCATTTCTACCATCTCAATATTAAATTTTTCAGTCTAGGTGTATCACATTTTCTCTCTTTTTTCATTCTCTTCCAAGGAATTGAAAGGTGGGGAACTGACAACCACAAGACGGGATGTCGTCCAGCCGCCAGCTCGTAAACAAAAATGGCCGATATCATCACATTCTCCCGTTAGGCGTTGTCGCCGTATTAAACGAAGCTATATTTCTAAAAAAGTCAAAACGGTCCAGGCGGCAAGGAACAAGCTGAACAATTTTCAGATGAGCTAAATTGTTATCTGAATTTCGGGTTATTCCCGACCACAATTCCAGCAATTCGTGATCCGGCTCATCTATAAAAAGGCTTCTAAATAACCGCGCCATAACTTTCCACTTGCTTTCGACTCCCCAGTTTTATATCACACAACGGAAATCATTAACAAAAACCACAAAAACACTTGGACTGACTTTCAAAACAAAGTACTTAAGATCTTATCACGTGATTTGCCATTTATTTCATTTTATATTGACCAATGTTTCGCCTTTGATAAACACCACACGAACGCCAACAGCAACTGGTACATTAGTATAAATTTGCACTAGCCTCTAAGCATAAAATGTGAAACTAAGTGTTAAATGTGATCAAAATTTACGAAGAAAACCTTCTGTTGGTTTCCATTGCCCAAAAGACTAAAATTTTACCTATTTACTGAAAGCTATAAGACGTTGATCTTTCTAATGTTTTGCCACGTGGATCTAGCCATAGCAATATTTCCTTCAATAATACTATTTTTGTGCTGTTTGCTTTGGGCAGTTTTTTTAAATTGCTACCGCCCACTCTCAGTGCAATTTCAGTAAATAATACCGGTAGTAACTTGATTTTAGCATCAAGTTTGAAAACGAAAGAAAATGGCCGAAACCATAGTGGATGACACAAAAAGTGAGCGACTAAAGTGATTTAAAACGCGTAATGGAGGCGAATGCTTTTGCAAGCAGAAAGCGGACACCAACTTTTCCCAGTTTAATATTTTTATTTACCTTTCTTTATTTCAACAGTATAAAGCATTATACAACCAGGGTTATATCCGTTGCCATCCGGCGTAATTATAATTAGCGAATGGTTTACGTGCAAGGCTTTCCTCCCATATGTACGATATTAACTTGACAAGGTGTACCCATTCGAAGAATACTAATCCTCGACGATCGAATATTTGATTCAAACGATCTGTGGAACGGCAAAGAGAATTTTTCTTGCCTTGGTTTAATTATTGGCTATTTTATTTAGGATAGAAATGAAATGAATTTTCCGCAGTTTGCATACGCTGCGTATCTTGTATATGTTAAAGCGTAGGTTTCAACTTTAGTCCGTCGTAGGGTTTAGTCTCTCGAGAAAAACCTTGGCTTGGGAACTCGTAGAAGATGAAATGAAACCGACAGGACAAGGAGCAGTTCAATTAAGCAACAAAGAAAAAGAAAGCTAAAGAAAAGAACTGAGAAAGATATTTACAACTGAAGATGAGAACAGGGGCAAATAGGCTGTTGCATGGAACGCACACGAAAAAAAAAGTGTCAAGGTAACGTCATTGAAAGCTCAAGATATTTTTCTCCGAGGCGTTAATCTGCCGTATATTGATATTGTGCCGAAGAGAAAGTAGATTGGTATACGCGATATAATATAATTACAATGCAGATAAGCACACGGCCTGCTGATAAGAAGCATAATAACCGAGCATAATTTATCATAATATTCCGTTTTTACAGCAATTCATCACTGGCGGATGGCCCTTTTTTGTCTCGTTCTCACCCCAGATTTTGGATAAGCATTGTTTTCATTGTTTCATTTACGGAAGAGGGGGGGGGAAAGGCGACTGTACTTACCAAGTAGAAATAGAAAACAACTGCTGTAAAAAATTCGGCGGGAGGCGCAAATAAGGCATAGCCTGTGTAGTATGGGCAACGCGAAGGTGACGAATGATGACAGCATAATAATCGATTTTAGGATCATTTGTCAGGGCCTACAATGCTTCAGTATAAATGAATTATATTTAGTGTCCGAGTACTGTTTAACTAAACTATTGAATATTATTAGCGGGTAATAAGACTATTTCTTTCTATTTCGTAGTTTACTTCTCGATCCAATTTTTTTTTTTGCGCGCCTTATGGGCAAGTCTAGCGATCGAGTACATCACCTAATACAACAATCAATTGAACATTCCGTTCGTGAGAAATTAAAGGAACGATTCCAAGGCGTGACGAAGCCTAGCCTGTTCCAGGCTCCAAGATATTAGGGAAAGCTGATCAAGAAAAGTTTCACGAAAACCGCGTAAGTAAAATCAAGAATTAATGAAATTCATACATTAACTCAGAAATTTATTTATCCTTTCTTGTAGTAAGTTGGACCAAGAGAGGATAAAAGGCCCATTATCTCCTCTTAGATGGTCGCACTCCCTTAAGCAGCCCAGCCTTGCCGGTGCGAGTGTCGCCGGACACGTGGCCAGTTTGTGGTCGCCCCATCTAATAAAATCAGGATTCTGGAATGCGGAAAACTTTTGCTTATGGAATCCAGAATCCAGAAAAAATTTGCTGGTGGAATCCAGAATCCTGGGCTTTGGATTCCGGAATACAGCTCAAGGAATCCGGAATCTCACAAATGATTAGAATCCGGAATCCACGCCATCGAGGCGAAAAATAGCACACGAACGAGTGTGATCTAAGAAATGACAAAGAATTAACCCCGAGACTTCAAAATTTAACGACGTATTTTTATACTCCCTGATGGAGAACACCACCCACATTGCTGCTACAAACCAAGCAAATACAAAACTAGCGCTGTGGACAAACAGCCACACGATAAGAAAAGAGTAGTAAAAACGGTTTGGTCGCGACTAAGTAAAAAACGCATTTCTTGCCGTTAGACGGCGATAAAATTTTTGTTTATCAAGATACTGTTTGCGCTAGGTGAACTCTAACGTCCGGTTCATCGTTCAGATCCGCCGCAGCCTCCTTAAAAATCTCCACTGTGGCTTTGTCAAAGTTTGTAAAACGAACTAGATTGATTGTGCTCTTGGGTTCTGAGCGGAAAAACTCTAACGCCGCTGAAAAAAGAACTTTTGCACATCGCTTCTTTGGAAAGCCAAAGATGCCACTGCTAATGGCGGGAACAGCTACACTTCTTAGACACCTTGTATGGCACTCAGAAAGAGAGTTAAACAGAGCGTTATGAAGATTGTCATCTTCGTCCTTCTGGCCTCCTTCCCACACCGGACCTAATGAAAATAAAAACAGTCGTAAAATAGACTTCGAAGGGGCACCTAACGTCAATTTTCGGAAAATATCTGTTAACATAACATAACATAACATAATCTTTATTTAACGTGGGAGAAACACTTAGCTAAAGCTATTTTGCAGGTTTTCCACAAATCAATATTAAGAACGAAAGAAAGAAAATATGTACATAGAAGTGTAAAAATACAAAATATCTAGCATCTAAAATTACAAAATTAGATAACTAAAAGTGAATGTTCCTCACTTGTTTATTAAATTCTAGTCCTCCAGCTCTTAATCGTAATTCGTTTGGAATACTGTTCCATTGTTTTGCGGCGAAATATCTGAAGGAGTTTAATCCATACTTTGTAGTATTTACTTTTGGCAGTGATAGCGTATTATTGCCCCTTAAATCGTACTTGTTGTCTCTCATTTTAACGAGTTCCTTAATGCAAGTGGGGGCGGTGCCTTGAAAACAGGCGTTTATAGTTATTAACATGTCCTGGACGCGACGGTTTTCCAGCGTGGTTCCTAAACCTATTCGCTGTAGCTGAGATCTAGAATTTTCGGAACATTTGTTGTAAAATTTCTTGCTTGCCTGCCTCTCCTAGGATTTTCGAACATCTAAAAAAGGTATAATTGCCCATTTTTAAAGGACTTTTACCCTAAAAAGGTCACCTAGATCTTTCGGGAGCATTTTTCTGGCTTAAATTTTCGAAAAGGTAAGTTTTGATCCCTTTAATTTTCGGATCACTACTTTGAGCTAGGAAATCCGAACAGATGAAAAATTTTTAGGGGATAAAAATACGCCTATATCTACCATTTAAATACTAAAATACGTTTAACAATGTTACGTTTAAGTGGTTTTGATCTATATTGTCCTTGGGTGCCCCGGACTTCGCTTACTGTTTTGATCTCCTTTTGCTCTGTTGAATGCCATTTTGAAAGGTAAGCATTTTCCACAGGCAGAGAGCGCTGCGTATACATAGTGGTAAATTGTGATCAAAATACGTCGGTACTGTATTGGTAGCCTGAGAAAACAGCCAGCAGTTTCGCGACGCCACCACTGGTTCTCCCGCGAAATGACGTCGGAGAAACGAGCGCAGAAATTCCATACTGATGACGCGTTACTACCCGGATGTGGGTTGTGCTTCTGATTGGATGAAGCAAATTTCCACCAGCATAGAATTTCTGCACTTGCTTTTTCAGACGTCATGTCGTCGCGAAACCAGTAGTGGCATCGCGAAATGTTGGCTTTTTTCTCAGGTTACTGTATTGGTAGCGCGCTAGTACAAGTCTAAACCTTGTACTCGGTCGCCAACCATGAGCTCGAATTCTGGAGTGAGTTCTAAGACGAGGAAGTTGTGCGCCGCGCGTGAACCAGCGTCATTTTGGCGGGAAAACGTCAAAGCCGTCGTCATTCTACTACACGTTTCAGCGAAAATGTCTCATCGTAGTGACGGAAACAAGCCATGTCAGTTATCAAATGTTGGGAAATTTTATCATTTTGCGCTGGGGAGAGGGCTTAACCTCCTTCAATTAAAACGAACGTGCTATTAAACTTTTCTGGTTAAAAAAAGTACAATGAAGATTTCGTGGGTGTCGTTTCCTTGAGAATATGCTAAAAAAAAACATTTTACAGTTTAATCTCGTCCTCATGGTCGTCCTCGAATCTAAAGATCTCCAATTATCCATGATGACATTTCCATTGTGCGCTCACTCCAAGCATACTATTCATTCATTCGTTCGTTCGTTCGTTCGTTCGTTCGTTCGTTCGTGCTTGCGTGCGTGCGTGCGTGCGTGCGTGTGTACGTGCGTTCATTCATTCAAGCAGCCTCAGCCGTGTTGGCCGCCTGGCCGGCCAGTCCGCTCTATTGTCAATGCAGGCTGATAGATCGCTGGTGGATTCCCTACTACACTCACTTTTCAGAACAGTGTCACATTATGTCGTACTTAGTACCCAGTGTGAGAATAGAAAAACCATTCTTTGCTCAGTGGCCTGTGTATAACATGGTCACTTAATATAAATGACCAAGTACAAAAGGTATTTTTGATTCACCATAGCAAAAGGGATTAAGACACACCTTTTTGTCCTTGTTTTTCTTCAGATTAAATTAAAGCACAAACCAATGAAAAAAACAGCTCTTGACAATTCTTTGAACTGACCATCACTTACAATTAAGTCAAAATGAATGACAGGTTACAAAGACAATTCCTGCCCCAGGCACTAGCTTTCCATATAGCTCCAATCTACTAACCCCATGCCTCCTGCCAGCATGAAAAAAAAAAAAAATTAAAAAAGCCTTTTTAATTTGATCTCTTACCTACTGTATGAATGACTACTTTGCAAGGTAAATTTCCTGGCCCTGTCACAGCAATCCCTCCAGTCTTCACAGGACCATTTTTAGTGACATATTCATCACTTTCAACTTGAATTTGATTTCCACCAGCTTTAACAACAGCTCCAGCTACCTGTTATAATGACAACTGAAATTATTTCTAAACTTATTTCTAAACAGTGTATTTTATTTATTTAGCACTGAATGGACAGTGGATAATTAACAATTAATGAATGAGGCTGAGTATCTTATGAAGAATTATGGAGATCGAGGAGGGTGTTATCCGTCCAGGCCGTAGGCCGAGGCGGATAACACCCTCCGAGATTTCCATAATTCTTCATATGATACGAAAGCCGAAATCAATAATTGTTTTATCATTCATTCAAAATAATTCCTAGTTTAAAAACATGGCTAAAACGTGCTTACCAAAATTGATCCATCGATGTTAAGTTCATCTTCGATAGTGCACGTTTAGGTTTGTACAGCTTCGCAAATGTTCTCCAAATAGAAGATGTCGCCCTTCGAGTTGTCTTCTTGCTGTTCTTGCCACGTTTTTAGTTATTTTTTCGCCTAGTTCTTACTCTTGAAACAAGTGAAATGTCCGCCATTTTTCAAGTTCACAAGCAAAACAACGCAACCTCGTCCCCAGGTCCTCTTGGTTAAGGGTGCCTTAACCTGCACAAACGCTGCATTTTTGACGTCATTTCCTCGTTAAACACAGAATTCTTCCAAATTTGGTCATCAGAAACTAGTTATGGTGAATTATGCGTGTGCGTTTAGCCAATCAGAATTGGGGAAATATTTTGAATGAATAATACCTTTAATGGAGATGGAACTGCCATTTCTTTGTAGTAATTAAAAGGCACACAAAGGTCGGGCGGGTAAGACCCTGGTCCCACTCTGTTGGATTGGCAACTGAAGATAAGAAAAAATTTTTTGCAACTAGCAATGTTTGTGCACTGAAGTAATTTCTTGGGCTCTTTGTTTCTTTGATGCAGATGAAGAAACAAAAAAATTGACCTGGCTAAATCAACCCCATGAAATTGAAAATCTCTTAATTAGGATGTTACAAGACACAGGGCACCCAACACCAGATTTACATTTCACTCTCCAAACATCTACACTGCATGATTATATAAAAGAGAGAAAAGACTTACTCCTCCACCATGTTTCAACCATGAGTTTGCAGCATTTACAATTGCATCAACCTTCTCCTTTGTCAGGTCATTCTGAACAACTATACACATCAAAATTAAGGAAGAAAAAAATTATATAAATTTTCTCATAAAAAACACCTCATGGCAGCTGTCAAAGAGTTATTATATTATTAGTGCGGTATGAAAACCCAGAGCTAGTGAAGCAATTAACCTGTCCGGCCAGAAGGTTTCAATCAAGAAATGCGAGCAACATTAAAAGAGGGTAGGGGGGCGTGCAAGACTGCACTCAAGGCTAACAAAGTTCAGCAACAGCTTGGGTGAAGAGCAAGTGATTTTTTAAATTTTCATCTCACCTTAATTAGCTTGTAAGTTCAAATACACCCAAGAAGAACAGTAAGCAAAACAAAAAGAAAACACAAAAAAATTGGAAATGACTGGAATCTACAGTTGCTTACTAATTAAGCAACTGTATTAATTATTAATATATAAAGGGACTTAATTAATATATAAAGAGCATTTTTGTTGGATAGTTGCTTGTTGATTTATTACGTACCTTCTATTCTTTTTTCCACTTTTTTGTCCACTGAGGAATATATTACAGTAGCATGAACAGTCCCCTAGAAAATGAAACACTGATGAGTCATTTGTACAGTAAGAGAGACATAAGGCCAAGGGGTTGGGGTACTTCTTTTATGGCCTAAAGACAGAAATTTCCTGCACAGAGTATCATGTGTTGACAAGACTGCAAATTTTGGAACAGAATAATCCTAAACAGGATTCTAAATAGGAGCTATTATGCTATATTAAGAGTGGATTTAATAGCTTTTTTCCCCTAATATATAACAAGGCAAGGGTTTCTAAACCTCAATAGCATCCCTATACACTTTAAGCCCGGTAAGGGGAAAGGGGGTAGTGCAATATAGCTAGGTCAGTGATGGATCATGACCTTCAGATAAGGGGGGAGGGGGCCGTCATCCAGAACCTGAGATGGGGGTGGGGCAGTCTTAAAAATATATTTTTTCAGCCCTTCATGCCTCAGTTTGGTCCAAATATAAGCCCGGGCCCCCCAGGCTCCTCTCCTGGATCCACCACTGTAGGTGGCATTGTGAGGGGTATGGTTTTCATGTAAGGCTGGAACAATACATTGAGCTATTGATTAATCTCGATATTAACACTGCAATAGCAATGGAGGATCAATAGTAAAAATGAAACATCGATAACAGTTGCAATTAGTGTGGCCCACTATCGATAGTTTCGATAGTTTCTATACTTCTAACATTTTAACTTCTTTCTTCTGTCTTTGATTCTCAAGGTCACAATAATGGTAAACAAGAAACTAAAAACAATCTACCGTCCTACTGCACCTACATCTAGAATGTTTTAGCATCTTGATTCTTGATTATTGCCGAGGTTTCGTCAAACTTCAAACATGGCGGCTAATTTTGTATTGTTGCCAACAAAAAAGTAAAGGCTGAAAACTATTGCAATACTATTGCAATAGTACCTCCACTATTGCAATGACCATGTGATTGCAATATTTAAAAATTCCCCAATAGTCACCCCTATTATCAAGCAGTTTAGTGACTTGGATAAGGAAGTGAAATTACTAACAATATTTTAGGGTATCATCTATTGGAGATTAATCTGTAGTATGAAGAACTGGCCATAGTTTCTGGTTCATAATCTTGGACAGGGTAGGGATCCTATTAATTTGGTGCCTGGTCTAGAATTGGGTAGACAAATTTATTGCAGTTGCATGAACATGACCTGGTATAAAAAGGCCAAGGTTTATTCTTGTACCCTGGAAAGTCAGTTCCATATAAAAGACATCAGATTAACTTTATGTTGTAAGTTGTGCCAAAAATTTGAGGACTGGGGGGATTGTCACACAGCACCACACCTACTATTTGACACAAACAGTTACTATGAAAAGAGTTAAAACATGCATGCATAATATCTAACAATTATTCCTCGGGCCCGAAGGCCGAATGGGCTATTGACTCAGAGGCCCATGAGGCTGAGAGGAATTGTTTTAGTGAAAATATCCAACTAGCTGGTCAAAAATATTGAGACAAAACAACTTCAGTTAGCAAAACGCGATTTCAGCTGCCATTGCTTTGGTTTTCAAAGCCGACGCTTTTCGCTACTGGTGGGCTATATAACATATAGCCTAGTAGTAGCTCAACCAATCAGAACGCAGCATTGATAATAGACCACCAGTTGGATTTCACTAATATATAATGCATGTATGAGGCTGTGCAGAAATCTTACCCAAATAGGAATTTTGCCCATGGCTCTTTTACTGTTTCTTGGTATAACACGGCAATGAAATGAAATCAATAAATTTCTTTAAAGGAGCTATGTCACGAGGATATAGGTCAATTCTGTGCTGAAGTCATTACTTAAACAACATGTGCCTTTTTAAAAATACCCATACACCAAATGCTCCTTTAGAGTTATAAATCAAAAGAAGATGTCAAACAAATTTCTTCAGGGAGCAGTTAACCAAATAATTTTTTGGGTGACTTTTGCATCGCCACGTTGCAACAGACGACGGAAAAGTTTCCATGCCTTAAATTATATAGTCTTAAATAACAAAACTGGATCATCTTTAGAGCAATTCAATCGATAAGAAGACAAGTTTAACCTGTTAAAAAAGATAGCAACAAATAGCGTGACATAGTGCCTTTAACGGCCCCCCTGCTGCCAGCTGTTTAACTTGTCAACAAGTGCACAGCGCGCACTAGGTTTAAATGAATGCTTTTACTTGTATACAAACCCCCGACTGTTGTCTGAAGAGAAGAAGGCCCTGGCTACTTGTCACTGCTCTGAGTACAGAAAGACAAGCTCTGAAGTAGACCATGTCAGGCAGTCTGAACTACCATAACACAGTAGCAATCATCCTACGTTGACGTTGGAGGAGCCCGTTAGAGGGAGGTTTGGAGGGCGTCACGAGGGCTGCAACTAGGCATCAACTGGTCAGCGTTTGATCAAGATGTTAGAAATTATGTCATGTACACAGGAGCGATTGTGCGTACCCATGACGTCAACAAGTTATCAAACTGTCTTGTCAGTTTATTTGCTTCAATCAGAAACTCCTTCTTAGTTTCTGGCTCAATTTTACGGTACTTACTTTTTCAAAACAGTTGATTTTTCTTCTTCAGTTGTCTGTTGACCGTGACGGAAAGGAATTAACCGTTAGCCCCTAGAAAAGCCAAAATATTTGTTGATGACGACTACCCCATCATGAGACCCTCGTGACATGCCCTAGGATAGGAAGCGATTGCGTGAAAGGACACTTCTTAATTATCGACGATGTATTTACTTAGATCTGTTAACTTCTAGACATTTAGCCACTTTTTATGGTTGGTAGTATTGTATATTATTGTATATTAATTTGTTAGTTACGGGCATATATTATATGCGCAAACGTAATCATGGCTTAAAATCTGACGGTATATCGACGATCCCCAGGGATTTATCACGGTCCGAGTGAAGACAAAGAGGCCTTTTTTCGCACAGCAACTCCTTTGTAGACAACACGATGCTTTCTCTGGGCCTGTCTGCAGTGTTGTTCCTAGGACTGTGTATCTCATCCGCAGTAGGCTATGGGCAGAAAATCCTTGTTCTCGGAGGAGATGGTATGTTGGGAAGTGAAACAGTGGCGCGATTGAAGCTTAGAGGAAACGACATTACCGTTCTGCATCGAGGAACCTGGTACTGGGACTCATCAAAACGAATCAAACCATGGGTCAACTTTATCCAGTGTGATCGGGATTATTTTAATGAATGCGCCGATAAACTTGAGGATATGACTCGGGAAAAAGGCATGTGGGATGCAGTGTTCGACTTCAGTGGCTACAAACCCAAACAGATCAAGGTAAACAGTTACCTAAATAAGCTCTTCATTTCGAGATGGCGAGTGAAGCCAAGCACGAGAAAACGCGCGAGCTAGAGGCAAAACCGCGAGGGGCTCTCGCGTCTGTTCGCGCCTCGGGTGCGTGACTGTTAAAGACATCCCGCAAAGCAGACAACGCTTACCAGAAAGAGTTTTGAGATTGTACACGTCCCCATCTTAGTTGACTTCGGGGACTCAACGATCCGACGACTCGATGGCAACGAGGCAAAAAAAGGTTTAGGGCCTGTTTACATGGAGGTGGGGGACCCCAGGTAGGTGAGGTAACCCACTTTGGTGGGTAACCCGCCTATCCACATAATCTCTCATTTTAATTTGATCACGTTTACATGATAGGTGGGGTGACCCACCGCATGTTACCTCACCTACCTGGGGTCCCCCACCTCCACGTAAACAGGCCCTTAGAAGGCAAAACAACAACTTTGCACGTGCATCACACTTTTTTGTACATTTCTTTGACGTTTTGGCACGACTATGACATGCAATTGCCTAATTTTACATTTTATGAACGACGTAAACAAGCGACGACGAAAAAGTATTTTTCTTTCTAAACTTAAATAGGGATCCTAGGAATTCAACCCCAGGGGGATGCGCCTACTTTTGATAAAGTAAATGGGTAGGAATAATCGTGATGAAGACTGGAAGAACGTAAATTCACTTTTTAGGCGACGTTTTCGCTGCCATCACGTCGGATCGTGAAGTCCCTATCGTGCGAGGACTCGCGCAGCGGAATTTGCCACGTTCAAACCTAGGTTCAAAGCTTACCCCTACCCCCCTTTCTAGACATTCATTGACTAACTATCAGAAGGTCTATTCGAAACATTTGTTTAATTAGTCTATTGAATAGGGACTTTGCGCCATCCTGATCTACCGGCCTTCACATCAGGGGTTTCAGAATGGGTAATAGCCTGGGTAACGGGTAATGAATGGACTCTTGCCCCCCAGAAGACACGTGGTATGGCGTGATTCTGTGGGTGTTGAGAGTCCCAGGTCAAGGCTTAAATCAGAGCGCGTGGATATTTTTCACCAGAGTTTTCTCTGGTTGTTACGCCTTACTGACGAGCCCCAAAGAGGGCGAAACAGCTGTCTATGGCTACAATCCCGCTCTGTTTTGAGTTCTTTCGGTGTCGTGTTGATGTCTTGCAGAGTTAATTTTTACGTAGTACGATCAGCATTGCAGTATTCTGCGTGCAGAATTTAATATGTCTAATGGGTAATTAGTTGACCTTACTTTTGTTGGTGTGGTGTTCTCTGCCTCCAGGACTTTATGAAAAAAATGCGCAGTAAGATTCGACGTTACATATACATCAGCACGGACTCGGTGTACGAGGTGTGTAAGGAACCTTCCCACGAAGGGCCTACGCTTGAGGAGGATGCTGTGCGACCCGAGGATCCCAGGGAGAGAGACGCCTATGCTCAAAGGGACCTTTACGGTAGCAACAAGCTGGAATGTAAGGAGCACAAAATTCAATGATATCGGCTTCGTTTAAATTGATCAAAATTCGGCACTAAAATAGGGTTCAACTTCTGTAGTCACCTCATTCGCATCTGTCCATCTTTTAAGAGTTAATAACAATATTTTGGGGGGGAGGAGGGGGAGGGAAGTTATTGAATGCACACGTTATAAGGTGATGACTATATTGTGAATCATCAGAATCATTATTAGAAACACCCTTAAGTCCATAGCACAATCTTCTGAGATATGAAGCAGCTATGCTTTTGGCTTTGCTGTGATAGGACATACAAGCCATCACATTGCGTACATAGGTCGTCGATAATGTAAGTCGTAAACAACAGAATCTTTTCATAAGTGCTGCTCACTTTCTCCAAAAGATGTTTTCGTCATTCTCTCTCTAAAGCACTCATCATATTTGGTTTGGATTTCACTTAGCTAACACAATAACCTTGACTTGTAGGTGAGGAAGCCATCAAAAGAGAACACGAATTATGGAACATCCCTTACATTATTCTAAGGCTTCCTGACGTAATTGGGTTGCGTGATAACACCAATCGCTTCTGGAACTATCTTTTGTGGCTGCGCTTTCATGACATCATAGATCGACCGCTTGAGTTGCCGCCCAGCCTTCATGATAAGCCGCTGAGCTTTGTTTTCTCTGAAGATGTAGCGAATCTCTTGATTGTTCTTCCAGAGTACGAGGACAACAGGGTGTTCAACTTTGCGTATAACCTAGCGTTTCATGAGACAACCACGTTAGAAGATCTACTACGTATTATGGCTAAACATCTTGGTATATCAGAGGTTAAGTTTGACAAATCAAACGATAGAGGGCTACATTACTACCCCTCAGTGAAGCGCGGTCCAGTGGACATTTCCATGGCGTTAAACTATATCAAATGGGGCCCACACGAGCTGGACAAAGGAGTGAAAAAGACGGTGCAGTTCTATGAGTACGCGATGCGTTCCTCTGATTTTAAGGCCCAGCGTAAAGCGATCCTCGATAGTTTTAAGGTTCCTCCTCATGCAATGGCGGCCTTTAAACAGCGCGTAAAAGACGTTTATGGCATAGATTACGATAGGGAAATAGTCAAAGATGAGTTATAACAGTCAATGGATAATGAGCGGTTTAAAAAAATTACAATTACGTTAAGAACTTTGGTGATTTTAACAATAGAAAGTGCATGCAATGTCATAAAATAGCTCTAAGTATTTTACATCTTAAAGAATATTTCTTGTCAAATGGGCAAGACCCTTGTTCAGGTAAGAAAAAAAAGTAAAGAGGGGATTTTCTAAGAGTCCAGCCATTACTGCTTCCATTTCCCTTTTATGGGGCTGTTTATATCATATCGGAATGAATTTAATTCCAGAAGAGTTTAGTTCCAGAGCAAATTAAGTTCGTCCTGCATTCAGATGATAAAATCGACCGGCTCAGCCTTTGTGGTTTTCGGGTCAGATCAAATACGCATGCGCCACTTGCGCTAGACTACATACACGATTTGCGATTTTCAATCCGGAACGAAGTTCGTTTTAAGTTTTCACGATACGAGAATGAAATTTCCTACCAGAACGAGAATTTCATTTGGATCGAAAAGCGGAATGACTTGAGCGGGAAAGAAATGCTCGCTTCGGTATCATCATTCCTGTACCATGTGAACAACCCCTAACGTTTTTTTAAGATGCCTCAAGGCAAGTACTCCATCATTTTTCTAAGGTCTCGGTGTTTGAAGTTTTCTCTACCTAACCGAGTCAGGAGCCCGCCATAACCCGAAGCGTGCAACTGCCATCTTGCCATCTTTGCCCTTTGCCATGACACCTTCCTACAATGGAGGTCAAAAGAATTCGGGACATTGTGGACCCCGTGCCCCCTCCTCTAAGTATTGTCACATTCGACTCTGTCTTGGGTAGGCTTTGGGTTCATTTTTTTAACCCCTCCCCACTTCCCCCCATCAATGATGTTGCGATCCCAAAAGGACTCATTTCCACTCATTTCGTTCTAAATCCAACATTGTTTGGGGTGGGAGGGGATCACAGAGGTCGGCAGCTTTACTAATGTCACTGGGAAGGTTCCAGCACATTTGATCTCCATTGTAGGCCCGGCTGCATAAACCAACCTACATGGAAAACTTGTCAATCATAATACAGAGAGGTGCGAAAGTAACACGTTTTATGAAAAGTTAGAGGACCTGCTTGTTTTAGTCGACCATATCTGTTACCACCGTTTTCGTTGATACGCGACTTTCGAAAACAAAATACCCGCGGAAACGTTTCCAAAATTTCCGTCAATCATGCATGTTATCGACAGATCGGATCGAAATCCACCAATCACAACCACTAGTGTGACCTTCTGACCTACTTTACGTCATGCTAGCGGGCTGTGATTGGTGGATTTCGATCCGATCTGTCGATAACATGCATGATTGACGGAAATTTTGGAAACGTTTCCGCGGGTGTTTTGTTTTCGAAAGTCGCGTATCAACGAAAACGGTGGTAACGAAGTGTTCACCAATACTTTTACAGCTTCCTTTTCTCATAAAATAAACGATCGTTTAAGACCGGACAGTTTTCGAGACAACGGAAACCGCAAGACGGGTTGGGTTTCGGCCAATGATCCACCATTTTGAAAGCAGAGGGTGCCCGGGGCAATGTTGCGCGTTTTACAATCCACGTTCAAACCCGTTAACAACCTGATTTTTTGCAAGACAGGTTTGAACATGGGTGGCAAAACACGAACATCGCTATTCAACTTGTTTTGCAGCAATGTTGCAAGACAAGTTGTACGTTTTTGGTTGCCCGTTGTTCAGTACCTTTAGTCCTTCCCACCCTGGGTCTTCGAGGATGTTACAAAATGAGGCCAAGCGCACAACCTTTCTTGTGAAAATGAGGTTTATTTGCACGAGAATGAAAAAATCATTTCCATATCAAAGGCTGGGCACTTAACCTCGCTTTGATACGGGGGTCCGCGGGAACTCGGAAAAAGCATAATGCTGGCGTGCCCAGATGCAGTGGGATAAAAGGTACATTGGGTGTCTATCTAAGGGTTTCCTGAGTCCATCGATTTGAGTACTTACCACGACTCATACCACTGGATAAACCGTACACAGTTTTATTACCGCACTATGATACCACAAAATCAATGTGTTGTCTTCAACAGGGAATAAATTATAGCTGGAGTTCATCAGATAGACAGCAAATACAACGAAAACAAGGTCGTGAATCGAAGAGTTGGGGATGGGCTGGGGGAAAAATAAATATCTGTTGTGTTTGCCGTCTGAACTAATATGAAATATAATTTCAATAACAAAGGGTAACTCCTTGTTCTTAACTGTAAACCTAACTGTATCTATATCTGAACATCTTGCGACTGTCGAAAGGGATAAAACTTTTGAGTGGGTTCACTCGACGATTGGAAAGGGCCAGTCTAATAGACGAAAAAAATCATTTTTCTGAATTGTGAACAAGAAAACCTATCATGAGTTAAGGAGATATTTTACGTAAGTTACACGGTTGATACAACCTGGGTGTTGAACTTGTTCCGGCAACATCACGATATGAGCTCACTCTGATACCTAACTGGCAAAATGTTTTATGCCTTTCGACAATTGAAGAACCTTCAAGCGTTAATAGCGACAAAGGCAACGTTTTCGTTTCTGATATAACAATGACCAAATTGTGAACTTACTGTTGATTATTTTCGTATAATACAAAACTTACAACCGTAGAGATGGAGACTGTAGTCTCAGCGATATAATTCAGTCTACGGCCGAGGTAACTATTTGCGTTTCCACTCAACTTTACGATTTAAAGAAGGAAAACGTTCGCCTTCTAAAACTATTAACGCCCACACGTTTTCAAGAGCACCCAATACGGTTTTTTTTCAGTTTCAAATATAACTCTAAACCACTGTAAGATTTGTGAAGTTACATCTGCGTGGTACATTTATGGCTTTTGGTTTATTTACAGCTAAGCGATATACGATGCATGGGATTACGAAGTATCGAAACCGTACAAAAAAATTCTAAACGCGTCAACAAAGGTTTAGGAAACCACTAAAACGAAATTTCTACGTGAATCTTATTGTTCAAATAATTAGTAAAATAAAGCGACATTCCAAGGAAAGGAAGGAACAAGAGACAGTCCAACAGGAAAAGCGCCTGCACTTTGGTGTTGAGCCACTGACCAGCAGTGACTGTTGAAACATACTTGTGTCCCATTTGCGCAAGGCGCAGAGCAGCTGGTGGTACATAATAACACTCTCGCTGGAAGCCGAATTTGTAACATTCACTCTTCTGAGTAGACTAATCTATTGCTAATAACAGCCCCCCACGCAGACGTTCTTTTGGCTCGTCACGCAATCCTCCCAACGTTCGTGGGACAGTAACGCGTGACGAGCTCCAAAGAACTTCTGCGTGGGAGGCTAAGCCAATAAAGGACTCAAAAACCTGGATTTCACCTAACCAATACAAAAAGACAATCAAAGCTATCAAACTAAGAAACAACCAAGATGATGAGTGTCTCAGTAATAATTTGTACAATTGAAGATTTGGCAAAGGATATTTAGCGAATCAAAAAACGTTTTAAAACCACAAAACCATTCGCTAAACATCCTGAATACAGTACAAACTATTTTGCTAAGTACACAAACACTATGCAAAGAACTTGAGGTTTACCTTGAAAACTATTTTGAAATCGTCGCTTCATCGGCTAAATTCATAGCTTACGTTTATATCTATACGTTATAAATTTTAAAACTTGAAAGCGATATATTCCTATAATCCCATACAAAAGCTAGAAGGCTGTGACAATTTCAACTATATTTAGCTTGCTAATTTTGTAAAGAGACCTCGTATATTAAATATCACTGACACATTTTTGAACCCTTCCGTGGTCTCGTCAGTTCATGTGTAACTATAAATTTAACCCGTTTTAATCAATGAGAGTCCAAGTCTTCTAGGCTTCCAAAATTACTGGCAGCTAAAAGCATGGACGCCATTCCGTAAAAGGTCCCTCTCACCATATTAGGGCGTAAATTTGGTTATTAAGTCCACCTCAAAATCAACGAAATATCGTAACAAACTTAATTTCATTGATCTGAATCAAGTATTGTTACAAATCCAATTTTTCTACCAAGGCCAGTTAAGTTTCTCGCTTTTAAACCACATCTTACTTTGTCATGACTGTTCCTTGCTTTTCGCCTTGGCTTGTATCAACTGTCTTTGCTGCTGGATTTGCCGTTGCAAGAAGCTAAGCTTTTCACCTTGTTCGTCCACTTCATCAGCACTGTTCAAATCACCATCCGATAGCGTTAGTCCCGTCTTTCTTTCCGGGCACGGGGGCGGCACGGATGATTTTCTAGCGGGTGGCATCGGCGCGCTTCTGCTGCGCGCGGCGTGACTCGCTAACGTGGCTAATTGCGCCTGCTGCGCTGCCGTCGGCCTACCGGAAATACTCTGACTTCTACCATATCCGGTTTTAAATTTCTGCTGGGGAGTCCATCCGCCGGAATTTTCTTGCACACTATCGGGGTTAGAGCGATGGTGGTAGCCTCCATAACTGAAATAACCCGAATCGCTGCTTGCTAACCCACCAGCAGCTGGGATATGATCCGAGTAGCTACTCTGTGAAGACGTTTCGCTATCACTTCTTCGATGCGCCATACCCGTGGCTGACTCGCTCATACACCGCGACCTTGTACCACCATAAACAGCGTAGGGAGTGGCATACTGAGGTCCTTGTGTGTCAGTCTGTCCCGGCGCGCCTTCTCGCGGGTGTTCCGCGATCGAGGATGGTAGATACATCTGCGCTAGCGACGCTGACGGAGACCTCTCCCCAGAGGAGGACGAACAGCAGCCCGAGTCAGTAGATGTCGTCCATGATGTTCTGTCGCCTACCAAAAAAAGAAAATAAATAAAAACCCTTCAATTCAGTGCCATTCTGACGCTAACTTCCATAACGAAACGTTTAACTTGGATCCAAACGGTCAGCAGATTTTTATCATGTGTGAATCTAAGACCACAATCGTCCCAGTGACTAAATTAAAAGTTGCGGGTTCAGAAAGTAAAGTTCACTATCGGCGGACACAACGTGTTGTCCGAAAAAAAATGACTGTCATCTATTCATTCAAAACTAATTCTGAAACTCCGCATAACAACGGCCAACGCTGCTCCACAAAAACTGACGGCCATTACTAAATTTAATGTCCCAATACAAAGGCTACGAAGCCAAGGGAGAAAGTATCTTCTACAGTCCTAGCAATGCTGGGATAAAATTTAACACCAGTGGTAACGCAAACATTACTTAGATCTACTGCTGTTCCGGTTCAACTTTTGCCATAATCTTACGGACTTCGGGAGGAAGACCATATTCATTCAACAAAAGAATCCCAAATAATTTCTACTCACTGTTATTATGACCGGCGTGCTTTAGAAGCAAAAATGATGCACTTATCATTGCGTTGGCTTTCCCGGAGGTTGACCCCCTGGGACTCCCCCGGGGATTTGTCTCCACCACCCAGCAAAAACCTACTAATTCCCCTGGGGTGTAGGGCATAAAATTCACGCTAAATCCCCCTCCCCGAGGGCTAAGAGGCCAGAATACCTTCCTTTACAATGTACCTTTGCAGTAATAACAGATACCTGCCTATCTTTTTTTTTTTCGCTTTTCTTCCACTAATCTTGACACAGCGTCCATGATACCAAATGTGACACCTTGGCCCTTGCTTATTTATTTTTTAATTTTTTTAACTAAACTAGAGAGCAGCACTCTGCGAACTTTCACTGTTGAAAACTGGTTTATTCTCCAATGCGTTTCGTCTAACTAAAGTAGACTTCGTCAATTAGTTTTAGCATGTATTAAAGCCATAACCTTTGACTTTTGACTCGGTTTTAGAAAAATTGTGGTCCCAAAATTTTCTCACACGACGGGTAAAATTTCACAGCTGCGCCTGTTTGCGACCAACGCTATGTACTGCTATGTACCGCTGACCCACGTCCATCAAATCCCGGGGGCACATTTCTGGGGTCTCAGCGTTCGTTACTGAAACTAAACAATATACCCACCCCGCCCAAAAGGATCAAAAATGCACACTCCCCACATATTCTCGGGGTTTCCCCGGGGTCAGGCCCCAGGAAAGCCAATGACAAGTGCATAAGCAACCACACTAACTTCAATACCAAACGCATTTGACGCAAATCTTGCTTAATTGTACGTCCTTACCTGGGTGTGGTAAGGTAGGCACTGCTCCAGGGAAGGGTGGGGGAGGAAGTGGATCACTCTGTAAGTCCCCTGAATAACCTGGAGACAGCAGAGGGGTAGGGGGCCGAGGAAAGCTCTCCACCGACGGCGAGCCTATTAAAGACCCTAAAGACGACACTGATGAATGTGATGACGTTGACGACACACTGAAGCTCGTAGCACGGGCGCACACCCGTGGGGGAGCAACTTTCTTGGGGGATGTAGTGGGTGTTGTAGAGCCGGTTAGCTTGTTTCGTGTGTGGCTGTGCTTGACCGAGAACGAGTAATGGCGACTAAAAGCGTTGAAGTAGGGGTCTGTCTCTGTGGGGAGCGGAGGAGGCGGGGAAGTAGGGGGGTCGCGACCGGTATGGAGTGGACTTGATGCTCGGGCCATTGTAGTAGTTGGACTTGGCGGTGGAGACTGTAGATTTAAGTAAAGAAATAAGTGAATAGTGGGACAAATTTATATGGCAATCACTGACCGCGAACTGTAATCATGAGCAAGGAGAAACGTCTGTTTCCGCAGGCTATAATCATGCTGCTCTCGTTAATGTGAAAACACAATTCTGAAGCCTTCAAGGCCAATGCAAAATATTGTATGAATCAGTCTGTAATCAAGACCATGACAGCTTATTAGTCTGTAGCCGCCGCATGTCATTATATCAGTGACCTTGATTGCGCCCGTACTCTTATCCTTTATCGTATGTTTATTCGTGTTCTTATAACTCATTTAATTCAAAGGCACTTCGTTAGAATCTTAAGTGTACAGGCCCGAGTAAACGCGTTCAACAATTGCTTTGTTATTTGTCTTTCATTCAAAGCAGAATTGTTGAGTTATCTTCGGCTTACAGTACACGTTTAAATCGATCATTTACCACGCTACCATCTAATACTGATCGTTTTGATAATTTTGAAACCGTAAAATATGCCATCGAATAGTGTCCTAATTATGTATTGTTTATGTAAATGACCTGTACATGTGCTCATACATTTATTCATTCATTCAATCAATCATCCATCCATCCATTCATTCACTCACTCGCTCAGTTCAATGTTATTTTGTTGAGTTCGCTGAAAGGGTGTTTCAGTGTTAAATTTTAGAGTGGTTAAATTTCATGGAAAATTACTATAACAATTGAGCAAATCGGGACCATTCAAACGGGCCTTGAGACTATCCGGACCGACACAATTGATGGCTTGATTTTGCCAATGAATTAAACAGAAATAAAACCAAATCTATCTACCTGATCATCAACGTTGTTATGATCGGAGAGCCTGAACTCTCGTATCAAGTCCTCCCCTGCCAGCGGCAACGTCGAAGGGCTTATTGTCTGTTTAATTATGTCTGCCAAGATGGACTGGAAATGTTCCACTTCCCCGAACAACAAAATCTCATGCTCCTAAGGAAAAGAGGAAACAATAATTATTTATACATACATGATAAAAAAAAAGAAAAGTTGAAAAAGGAAAGGATTAAAACGGGAAAAGGCACGAACATGACACTTAGACCCAAGCGTAGTCTCCCACGCAGCCTACGATTGAGACCAACCCATGAGGGGTGCCCACCCATGAGGGGTGCCCACCCATGAGGGGGGCCCACCCAAGGGAAATGGAAGACTTTGAATCATATACAAGAAAAATCTACTTGTAGTGAAAAAAACCTAATTTGTCAGGACAGTCACTAACCCTGTGAGCCTCAATTCACTGTTAATTGTCACTAAAGTAAATGTGTCCCCATCAAATTTAGCCTGCGTAGCAAGCGTTTCAACGCGGTTTAGGAGCAAAGAACGAGGAACGAGATTCAAAGACCGCGTTTCCTTTTATTTCTCGCCCGGCCAAAACCGGTCTTTCTTTGCTCTAAAACCAATGGAAACGCTTGCTACGCAGGCTACATTAAATTATAATCATTTGCATCAACATAGTAAGGTCACACCTTAGACAAAGAAGTGTGAAATGCCCAAGATACAACAGACTTCACGATAACTACTTACCACAACTGGCCTAAAGCAAGTCGCTAACATGCAATATCTTGACCTCTCTTCCACCAAAACCTTTTTAAGGTACCGCTTTTCTTGCTCTTCAAATGCAGCTTGCTGGGAATTGGCTAGCTGTAAGAAAAAGTCATTCAAATTTCAAATCAGTGCAACTGAAAACTCTCAGTTAGTATGTCTTAAAATAAAATGCATGAACATGTATGTTTTTAAGTTGATAAAAGTTAGATAACGAACTCAACGACGACACAGTCTCTCTCTTTTATCTGCCAAATCAGTTTGTGCTATAACCAAAATAGGATATGATATCTTCACCTCTGTCTTAGCACTTAACACTGCCAATTTAGATTTGACAAGGTCATTTAGTACAAAATTTACTAAATTAATGTTGTCATGCTTATAACAAGGAAAACAATCACAGGCAATCATATTTTACCTTTAAAGCTGCATCAAGTCTTTCCTGGTGCTCTGATTTACCTTGGGAGAACGAAAGAAAAAGATGGTCGGTAATACCAGCAATGATACATGCAATGTGTTATAAGAAAACAAAATTGCCTCAAATGTGACAGGGGATGATCACTGACAAAATTAAGGTGAACACATTCACCTGGAAAGCACTAAGGTCTAATAATTATATTTTGTCCCAAAATCTTTGACAGGCAACTAAGTGAATCCAGACGATTACAATGTAAGCTTTACATGTAGCAGGCCTATTGCTGAAGAAGCATGGTGGAAAGCTGGTTACTGTTACAGTGCGAGTGAGAATATCAAGACACAGAGCGAAACAGTTAGTCTAGCCTTCGGGATATGTGAATTTCACCAAAGCTATTTTTAGACCAATTAAATGCTTGAAATTAATCGGAGAGTCCAAAAACCTTTATTCAATGTTCCAAGAGAGAATGATGGGATATTATGCTCTCTTCGTGTGTCACCATTAAAATAATTATTCTGCATTGTTTGCTTTGAGGCAGTCACATTAAACAACTGATTAAAATGTTCGAATGATTTAATCACAGGCTCTAAAAATAACTTTAGTGAAATTCACATATCCCAGACAATGCCCTAAGATTCTCTCTATGTCTCATTATTCTTTCTTGTACAGTGGCAAAAAGAGAATTATGAAGACAACAAGGTAAATAATGCATTATGATGTGATTTAAGCAAAGGTTTAAGGTGGCTGAAACAACAGGAAATTGACCCAGTTTTTTATAGAATGAAGCACCCTACAGCACCTCTTCTTGGAGCTGGACAAAACGTAGTTCTAATGCTAGTGCATGGCAGGGTTAAGAGGCTGCCGTATCATGGCTGCAGGCTGGTTTATTTTGTTTATAATACCATTTGCCCGTCCTTGATTGCTATGGAACTTGAAAAATTACTTTTGAACAACAAAAATCCACCTTAGTGTAAAACAAAAATGTCTCCCAAGCATTATTTCAAACGTTACATTTGTACAAACAACAAAAACAAACTTTGAAAAACTGTTAGGCTAACAAGTTTTCAAAAAAACTAAAATTGCAATCTGTTTTAACCTTCTTTAAGTTTGTCCATCCATACCTTCTTTTGTACTTGCTGTGTTATTTATACTTTCTTTTCATGTTTTCAGTGATTATTTTTATGATTCCACTCAATTTGGTGGAGGTTCCCAACTGCCTAGTTTCAAACCAAGAGGGGTTGGGTACGAGTCCATTTATTATGGGTTAAACAACACAAGATCCATACAGTCAGAAACAGCACATTGAAAATAGCAACATTCTCAAGTTTGGTTCTTATCAGGCTTATATTGAACGAGATACAGCCATTCAAAAACTCCAGAATTTACTAAGAAATATATAGACCTCCGAATGATGTGTGCAGCAATCCATACATCTCTTATAAATTTTCAAGTTTTTTAATGGCTGTATCTTGTTCAATATTGACCCAATCAACACCAAACTTCAGAATTTTTGTAACCTCAATGTGCTATTTCTGACTATGTGGGTCTTGTGTTCTTTATCCCATAATAAACCGACTTGTACTCAGCCCATCTCTCAGTCAGTCAGTCATTCACTCATTCATTCATTCATTCATTCATGAGAAATGAACTTCTCTCCACTACTTCTAGAACTCTGATAGTAAGGTTTTAAGGGTTAATGTAACTGGCCAATACATGAGTACAGCAGACATCAACTGTAGTTTATTCTGCAATGGACTAGCATCCTACAGTGTATTTATAAGGATTAGTGGCTCCATGCTACTGAAAATGGGTCAACTTTCGGCATTTTTACTGCATGTGGCTTTATGTGTGAGATAGCGTAAACTTTGAAATTAGCATGCATGGGTTGCAAAGTTTCAAAAGAACTTCGCTCACCTAACTCACCTTTCTTAACCTTCTTTTGCAGTTTGTGAGTTTCTGCTGTGGCCTTTTTTAATTCTTGTTTTGCCTTCTTGTACTCTGTTTCAAGGACAAAAAGGTTGGAGGAATAAATTAATGTAAGAAATAACTGAAATGGGATTGAAGCACTAATAAGTGCAGTTAATGACAATAAAATTAAATGAACTCCTTTGTAGGCAACAAAAGTTTAAGCATAAACACTGAGGGCTCGAAAAAAACTTGAATTCCAGCAGCTCATGAAGCAGCTGCTTAGAACAGAAGTCACCAATGGAGCGTTTCCCTGACCCCAAACAATACTAAAACAATTGGAAGAATGACATGTCATTCTTTCCTGCGAACAATTAGGAGAGACCTTACGAGCAACTCCTACACTACTCATTCCAGTTTGTCCTTTGGGCAAGCAGCTCTCACATTTTGCTCACCCAGGGCAACTTCTTGCTTGTCCTAGTTAATGATTTTGTTAGAGGATGACTTGCCTGTACCCTTGCGTATTGGGCACCGTAAAGTTACTTGCCCAGCAAGAAAATCTACTTGTTCTGGACTACTGGACAGGAGTTTTTTCGAGCCCTGATAAAATGCCCTATCAACATTCCCCACAGTACCCAAACGTGGGTCTCCCATCAGTCTCTCTCCTACCACATGATATTAAATTAAAGGGTCTGGAGGCACTGACAAGTCAAAACATTTTGAGTTGCTTATCCAAAGAGCAAGCAAGAATTCAATCCCTGAGAAGTCTAAACATCATTAATTTTTACACTTACCCTTAGCATGATCCTTGTCCATCTGAACGACAGCCTTTTTCCAATCATCCAACCTTTCTTGCAGGGGAACTACCAGTGTTTCAGACAACAACCTGACACAGACAAAAGCAAATTTAGATTTCCAATTAGGTAAAAACAGTACAGTGTTCACTCTAGAATTCTCCAAAGAAGGCCCTCACCATAATACTTATGACAAACTTAGAGAAGCTAGCTAGAGTGTGAAGTGTGAACTGGTGAAAAAGACAGGGTGTCCACAGATGCAATGATCAGATGTTATGACAGGTAAGCCTTCGTGCTGTGGAAGTGGCAAATGACTCAAGAGTCTTATTTCTTCAAATCTAGACTGTAATCCATGGGCAGGCAAATCTTTAAAATTAAAATTGTAAAATTTTTAATAACCAGATTTTCCATACTAATGGTAAGTGCTCCTAAGTTCGCTCTGTGGGGAATGCTGCTCTCTCTGATCTGAGGATTTTAAGACTAGTATATCATTGCATGCAACTCACTTGCCTGGAGAGCAAAATTAGTCCTTCATATTAAATCATGACCAAAGAACAACACACACCTTTGCCAAGCAAGCACTATTAGCAACCCTCCAAGTTGGGACCATTTTGGTCGCCATGGCGCCTAAAATTTTGGAGCTGGCAACTTGATTTGTAAAAAAGTCTCCCTAAACCAAAAGACTTGGTTGCCAAATGGCGACCAAGCAAAAACTTTAACTTGGAGGGTTGATTGGAGTGTTGCTTGTCCACAGGATACACCGAGAACACCAGAATGTTATTCTGGTTTGCTTGTAAGAGGGTAAGGTTTAACTTGACGTTAGTGAGCCAAATTTTAAAAGAATTTTTACTGTCTATGAACATATAACTGAAGCTACAAACAGATTGTTAAGCCTTTACTCTGAGAAAAAAGAGTAGTCTAAGCAATCTACAGGACGGAAAATACATATAGACTTAGTCAGGGATAAAAGGAAGCAAGCCCAGATTTTTTCTCCAGTCCTGCACTGAATATCATAAACGGCTACTTGCAAGCCCTAGGCCTATACATCTTCAAAAGGGGTTTTAGAAGGGGTGTGTCCAACAGGGCTTATAACCAGAATAGAAAAAGCACAAGTTTCAAAACAAGATATAACTTTCGTGATCAAAATGTTTTCATTTATTGGTTTGTAATTAAGCTTCAAAATGTCATAATATTATTAAACTGAATTCATTTCTTTACATTGGAGCGGGGGGGCTTATAATCGGATGCATTTTTTTTGGTTAATTTACAGGTTGGTAGGCTTATAAATGGGAGGAATACAAGTGGGGGAAATTAAAAGCGGTAGTTTAGGGTACTAAATTAACAGTCACCATCAGTTTATTGGCTCCCAGTCACAAACATACTTACCCAGCAAGTCCTTTTAGCTTGCTATCCACACTTCTGTGTCTCATCACCATTCTGGTCAGAGATCCTCCAATATCTTTGCAGCATCCTAAAAAACACACAAACAAAACAATACTGAAAAATGTCCTATTTAACAGCTGACATTTTTCATAAAGCCTTAAAAAGTTAGGATATTGTGCGCAACGTGCTGGTATGAACGTTCTTCAGATTAAAAAGTCACGCAATTCTCCTCCTCAAGAAGAATAAAAAAGGAACAAGTTTCTCAGTGATACAATACTATGAGACAGGATTTAGGCCAACTTGCAATTCATGTTTTTCCCAGAGACAGTGAAATCTTGTTTTGGTGCACTAGCAGTGAAAATCAGTTCCATTAATCTATTAAATGGATAGAGATATTTTTAATCATCATGGCTTTTGAAGTGACATTAAAATCTAATATATATTTTTTAAGAAATGTCTACAACAATGACATTGCTAGTCCTTTTGCACCAGATTGTATAAATCAACAGGCTCATAAGCAAAGTCCAACCAGGTGTTGTTGGGTGCTACTAGTTGTAGGTGAAAAGAATTTTGTCACGTATTGCCTGCAGGTCTCCTAATTAGCAATATTTAAGTCTGAGTTTTTTTGCGTGGATGACCTGTATTGATGCATTACTGATATACTGAATATGCCACCTAGTCATCAACAGTAAATGACAGCAATAATTCATTTATGATGACGTACTTGTTCAGGTCATCATCAAATTGAATACACGTTACTTTGCATGGCAAAGGAGCGCAAACAGCTCCATTAAAATAAAATTTGAAATTCAAGTTTGACCTTTAAAGGTTCAACAGGGACATGCATCTTTTGAAAAAAGATGATCTCATTTGTTTGGAACACAAGTGCACATTTACACGAGTGCTAATGTGACAAACACAGCCATGGCACTACAATATCATTACCAAAAAATATATGTCTTAATAAGGCTATTTTGACAAAATTCTGCCTTTTCTTTAACAACACAAGAAAATGATGCAAATTTCTTAGCACTCATCAGGTTTCACAATTCTCAGGTGCATGTCCTACAAACAAAAACCATTTAAGTTGTACATATGAAAACTCATTAAAATTCTTTCCACAAAAATAACCTTTTCAGGAAGGTGTAATAAATGTATAACGAAAAGCATCGAAAAATACTCTCACGTACATTTGTCTAAACATTAAAGAAGGCCAAACAAGAGCCTGGACATAAAAACTAACTCGCAATGCATAATGGAGTAGATACATTCAGTTATTTATTGTTTGGTTTTCTAAGAATGTTGAAACTAAATCTAAACTGTAAGGTGCTTCGCAACCCCAGATTGTAAAATTATTATCCAAGATAGATGCTAAAAAGTTTTATATATTTTTATTTCAGAATATGTTGACAAACAGAGAGAACCAAGTTAAAGAACCACTGAAGCGGTTTTATCCTTTGAATGGTCAGACATAAAAATACCATAGTTGAGTTTACACAGAATAGGGTAATAGGAAGTCTGGGTATCCAATTTAGAAGTGAAGAAATGTTTGGCGAGGTTCTTTCTGATGAGAATACATAATACTCAAGTTCTTACAAAGCAAATAATTTGACCACAATAAACACTAATTAAATTAAAGATAATAAGGAAATTATTGAATCATAACACCATAGAACCAGGAACTAAACTGAGTTTTCGCTTTGATCCTTCTGCATTGGCTTGGGTAAGAAATATACTTAACATGAAAAACAAAAATTTTTTAAGTGTTAATGTCTTCCATGTCATTCTGAAAACCAGCCACTGAAACTGCTCAGGTAACTTCGAGCAGATCAAACTAAGTAAAACCAGTTTACGGGTATTTTTTAACAAGCTTAGCATCATGAAAAGTCCCTCCTAAAAGTAAATATGATATTCTGTAATAAATATATAACTACCTCAAGCAAAAAGCACAGCATTTCAGATATGTTACGGTTTCTTTTTCTTTGTGCTACTAAAAGGCTAGCTGACAGAAAATGAAAAATATGGAGAGTCTTGCTATTTCACATTGCTTAGACTTCATCAAATACCAGTTTAGGAAATTTCAAGCATTTTTGGGAGATAAATGGCTCTCAAGAACCTTAAGGACTTTATCTAATATTCAAGGACTTTTCACGACTTTACAGACCTTAAATAGCTTAACACCAGCTTAGAAGTGGCTCAGACGAACACACAGTATTGCAGCTATTAATATGCACTTTTGGAACAAGCATGCAAGCAGAAACCTTTTCATGCTGCAATGTTCCCTTCATTTTAATCTGCTGGTTAGCTTTATTTGTTTTTCTTCTGTGTATTTGAGAAAGGGAAGGAATAAAGCTTACATGTAGCCAATAATAAGTGTTAGCAGTGCTCCAATTATGTACTATGTATTTCAGATGAAATCAAAGGGGATTCTAAATGTGAAACTTTCGAAACATGCTTTATGTTCAATCTGAAGACAAACATTATGGAGCTTAAGCAACAAGAGCGACAACAAACTTTGAGAAAACGTCTCTTAAAAAGTGAATTCATGCTGTTTGAAAACACATTGCTCTTATTCTATATCACTCAATTTATCAAATGTTGGTAAATTTTTCTGGAGTTGACTTCTAAAATACTCTATCTGATAAAGTTTTACAAAAAGTATTGGAAAATAGTTTTATTACACTCATGACCTCGACAAAATGTGAAATTAAGCAGTTTCACATCGAGGTCATGCATTCATGGCAAAGAAATGTAGAAAAAAAAAGCGTGATGCACCTGCTGTTTAGCTACTCTAAACCTATTGTTTTGTCCTTCTCATTCCAGTTGCTATTGTCATTGTTCCTCGAACTCCACATTGAGCACTGTATTGACACAGTCCTTTGGACTGATCCAAAGCAGTAACCATTGGGTAACACCATTTTTAAAAACGTAGTCGTATCTCATCCAGTAGAAACCTGAATTGTGAATCAGAACTTAATTCCCCTTCTTCTGTAATTTTCAGGCCCATTTTGAGAGCATCCCAGTCATATGAATTAACTTCTTGTTCCTGGCTGGGAGGTTGAAATATCAGGATTCCAGTGGTCTTAGAACTGGTCATTGGATGTGAACTTCTACTACTTAAAATGTGTAAAAATCCTATATTTAACACCACAAAACTGATACGACAGAAATCAGGGGTGTAGGAGCAACTGCCTATTTTTCTGCACCATTGGAAAAAAACAAATATTATGAAACTTGAATAAAATGCACCCCACGGTTTTCACATATTTAGACTAATTGGCAGCCAATGACTCCTGGTAAATTTATGTCGTGAAAATAACTACAAGTAGTCCGCCTTTTGGAATACACCTCACTGACTTGTGAAAACTACAATAATATAGCGCGTTCTTTCAGTGCACAATGGCACCTAAGAACCCTCTAATTAATTTTACAACGGTTTGCTAAGCCAAAACTGTTACAAATAATCGTAACGGAATTAACGTAAATTCTCCATAAACAAAGTGCCAAAATCTTAGCATGTGGTACAAACAAAAGCTTTATAACTTTTTAAAAAAATTAAAAGACGTAGAACTTCCGAACATTCTTTACCGACTGACTATTTCCGATGCAAATAAATTTAAAATAATTAAAATTGATATAACTCAGACAGAGTGAAACTTGACCGAAAATTGAAAAAGAGTGTTTATCTGGGTCGACAAAACCTCAAGACCTTACGAGCTACCCACTGTAACGCGTACAATTTCTGTCCAGTTTTCTTGTTACATAGCGATAAACACGTTTTAAGCTTATATCGGTAATTCAGGAAGTGATCATGCATAAATGTACTTCCTTTGATTAAGGCCACAAAATATTATTCAAAATTCTGTAAGCTAACAAAACCTGTTTTGACTATTGAAATTGAACAAGGATTTCCATGTTTTATACGAGGTTCACGATTTTGCTATCCAAAAACTGTCCGAGTTTTGTTCGAAGCAGGTGGCGCGGCCATATAAATAATTCTTGAAGTAATGCTATGAAACCAAACCGCAAAATTTGATGGAAAGAGATTGATAGGAGATGAAGGAAAACTAGCACGATTGCTTCTTTTTAGCTGCAAATGCTTTGGGTGTCTGAAAGAAAACAAAATTATAAGGCAAAAAATCAACAGAAAAATTCGCCAGAACACCAAATAGACACGCCGAATATTGACGCGAACGTTAAAACTACGCGGCAAAATTGCACTGCTTTACCGCCAAAATCGTAACGGACAATAAAATGACCAGGTTTTGGGAAACTCGTAGTAAACTCCCGTAGACCGCTTGTACGACATTTCAAAACTACCGGAATTTGAACCGGAATTTTCTTCTTGAAGGGGTTGGAAGGTCCCAGTGAAGGTTTCCTATTTCACAAGCCACTATAAATAAACAAAACAAAGAGAGCGTTGTGAAGGAAAATTCATTCAACACAATCTGCTGTAAGTCGAACGCTCGTCGCTCGAATAAATCACCTGATCATGAATAACGTCCATTTCGAGCGAGAAATAGTTCACCCACGCACGAATTTTCGAAAGGAAAAAAAAACCAGTTGCCCTAGACTTCGGTGAGGTATTTCAGATTGTAATTTACGATCTACTTTGTAAAATCCCTTATCTTAGCTTAAACGATTATATTCATACAAGAACCGAACGAAATCAAGATCCAATGTTGTACATATGTTCCTACCATAAGATAAGATTCTATTCACCATATACATCACGACTCTTCAAATTCTTCTACAAAAAGTATAACCTTATACAAATATCAACAAAAAAATTACAACACGCGTGGGTAAAACCCTTGACCAGCTGATGAAACTAAAACTGAATGACACGACGAAGAAACATGTGCTTTCACTGTACAAAGTATAATCTTCCCAAAAAGTCAGCTTTGGACGCGATGTTGACGCCATTCTTATTTTGCTACAAACAAGGCGTAAGTAACGCAAAGTAGATATTTGACGCGGCAAAACAAGAAAAAGTGCCGGAGAGTACAGTACCCTTACCTCGTGACGAATTCGCGACATCAGCAACTCGTTGAAAAGCGTCCAAAAAGGAGTCAGCTGCGATAACTGTTGCCCTAAATCGAGGAAAATTAAAACAAACTAAGCCTATCATCTTACTCTCTAGCAAAAAATAAATTATAACTCGTAAATTATAAAATATGAGAGTTAAATTATTACACACGTTTACTATCAAGCTTACTTTAGCGCTGAGTGTAGTTTACTCGCTTTGCCGACAAAATCTTCCCAAACCGGGGCGCTCCCCTGTAAAAGAGAGAAATATTTAGAGCCGCTTCTAGTTAGAAAAATATAAAAGGAAGAAGAATCAAAAGTAAGAGAAAAATCCCACCTTCAAGTCGTTCAAAATCGAATGAATCAAATTGCCTTCACTATCGGCGTTGTCGCCCATGATACAGCTTTCTTGAATGTCGGTCCTTCACCGTAAGCTGTTTCAATCTTCACGTTTTCCACATGAGCTCAAAAGAGGGAATCCAACTGTTTTGCGATGAAATTAAGAACAGCCGCCTAGTCGGACGGGTGTAAATGTTCACGTAGTCTCTCAAGTATTCTTCAACGGAAGCGGAGTTATTCTTCGCTCTACAAAGGAAAGATACCCCGCGCGCGATTAGTTCAGGTCAAACCAAGTAGACACGTGACTTATACGGCAACTCATTTGCATGAAGAGCAAAGGACGCGGTTCCCGGAACAAATTTTTAGCACAGCAACATCAATTTGCTGAATTTACACTTAAGAGATAAATGAAATGAATATTTATGCGTATTAAAGAGCGTCGGCCAGCGTCTCCCAGGTGTGGTTTTAGAAACAGATCAATGTATTCTGACCTGAGTTTATTGAGCGGCAAATATCTCTAAGCTCCCAAATTTTCATTTTTATAAAAGAGTGGTCAAGCAAAAAAGAAAAAAAAAATAAGAGCAACACCAAAAAATTAAGTAAGTAACAAAGTATTTTGTACTGCACGACAAAAAAGCTGTACACTGACAAAACCATAACGTGTCAAAATACGCAGGGCCATGTAGGTCTTGAAAACAATGCTATTACATACTTATCTCTGCAGAGCCATGTAGCATAATTATAGTTATTACAACATACTTAAAATAGAAAAGATTTTTTTCCTGCCCCGTTTGAGGTCGATGAAAAAAGGGAAAGGAATTGTACCCTTCTCCACTTTTATCGCAGAGCGCATCTTTAAAAAGACACCATGGGCAGCGTGCGACACCCAGAATTATCTTGTCTTGTCTGTCGTTTATTTTGCCCTCGCCGCGTCGTATCAACCCTAGACAACTTGACTTGAAGAGTGTTCGAGTTGTGAGTGAAAACAGATGAAACCAAAAAGACTTAAATGAAAGGTCACTAGGTCACCGAACGTTTATGTCGATCGTCAATTCATTACCCGTATCACGGAAAGTGGAAGGTGAATCGAAAAAAAGCGCCATTTCCTTTTCTGGTATAAATTTTACAGCTTCCATTAAAACTGTCGCCAGTCTACGCGTTGATAAGAAAATAATGAAATATTTCTAGAACCATAATCAAGCCATGTAAGTCGTATTTGCAAACACCGAAATAAAATTGAACTTTCAGTTTAAGTCATTAGTCTTCAGGCAAAATGCTCACAACACTTTTAAGTTATCTGAGTTATTTTTGCACGTTTGTGACAAGGGAGCCTATATCCTGCTACCCTATTCAGAACTAATATCAAGATATCTTTTCTACAAACGTGGTTAGCCTACGGTACTTCATTTGCGGTTTCAAACAGAAAAACAATAAGACGAAAACATTTCTTTCGTCGTTACATCGATGAGATCTGGCTAAATTTACCAAAGTGAGTCAGAAGACCTAGAAAGCACGTAGCATTAGTAAGTTATCATCACTGAGAAAAGAAGGAAGGATATTTGAATGATTTCTTGGGGCCAATATCATCACGTCTGGCCACAAGGCGCGAAAATTTTGGAACTCTGTCATCAAAGTATAAATTGATGATCAGAAAACTGATGAATTGTACACCTCTATCAAAAGATTCTGACAGAGACGTTTTCTGTAATCGCTAAAACAATCGACAGCGGAATGAAAGTGTGCCTAAAAACGACAGTGTTAAGAAATTCAAACATTTGAATAACAAATGTTAAATCCGTAGGAAAAAAAAGGTCAATAGATCACGTCTAGGAAGCATGATCCGCCCTTATTCTGCCTAATAAACATCACCACGGGGCGGATTAGTTTTGCACATTAGTTAGACTTAGTAGTTTGAATAACCCTGTTCAGCATAATACACAGCACCGCGGGAAGTAGTGCACTGCCACAGTACGTTCTTTGCAGTCAAGTTAGAACATAGTTATTAGAGGAGACTGGTTAGAAAACCGCCATGTAAAAACAACATAGTTAATGTTCACAGCACCCACATCCTTTGGAAAGGAATAAATTAATGCAACGTTTTTATTGGCAATCAAAATGATGGAATTCTTTTTTTCAAACGAGGTCACAAAAACATATGGGATGTTATCCACCTATGGTTAGAAACGCATATAAAAAAATATAGCCTTCGCTATGGGATGTTATCCACCGAAACGCGAAAAATATAGCCTTCGTTATTAATGTATACGACAATAAACACTACAGTACCAAAAGAAAGTTCAGTTCAATAGAGTCAAGACTGGATGATTTCTTGTGGGAAGGGGAGCTTGACACTATGAAAGAAAAATATGAAGTGGAAAGCACACACAAAAACGCTAAATTTGCCATTAAAAAGGTGACAAACATGCAGAATTTTTTATTAAAAAGAGAAAAACTGTCGGTGGAGATAGATTCATGCCAAGGAAACGTACGCATTGTTCTGGGCGATAAAAATAAACTAACGTTCAATACAAAGGAAGAGAGAGATTGAAAGATAGCTCTCAGCTTGAACTGAAATAACAACTTACCGCTTAGCACGATCCTAGAATGTTAATGCACTATGGCATAACGTTAATAACTTTTCACTAAGAATACGGCAACTTATTTCGAAGAGGAACAAAAACAGCAATTATATAATGCAGATGCAGGGCATGTGCAGGGCAGTGGAGAGACCGTTCTGGCACAGTCGACACCAGAACTTGCATTGCGATCGTCAATGGCGCGCACCGCTAGGGAGGTCTGGGGGTATGCTTCCCCCACCCCTCCCAAGAGCAATTTAAAATCACAACGAATGAAACGCCATTTTCAGTATTTTCCACGATAAGCCATTTCTTAAGAAAAATTATCTCGTACAGCTGGGGATTATTTTCCCAATTTAGTAAACCGTTTTTATTTTTAGCTAAAGTCTGGCGGCAAATTCACCGTCTTGCCATTTACTAGATGTACTTTCCTAGTGTCCCGTCGATTCAAGAAAATCTCCGCCTGTTAAAGACTTTAAGATGTTGCCTAGAAGAACAAGTAAAGTGGAACCCCGTTAACACGGTCACCAGTGGGCCAAACATATTGGGCCGTATTGACGGTGTGGCCGTATTAACGAGATAACGTTTTTTTTTACAAACTGGGGGTTTTTGCCAGGTGGCCGAAAAAAGGGCCCGTAATAACGAGGTGCATTACCGAGTTTCACTGTAATAACTGCCTCCAGGGTCTTGAATAAGTGTGTAACAAAAATGTCAAAGCTCTACCCCTCACATCCTGCAATCTTTTTCAGGGTTTCGACATAAATTCCATCATGGTGGTCGCTTTCCAGTTAATCGACTTCTTCCCCAGTTCACAGCACTTTGTCAGAAATAAATTATATTTTAATTATCCTTAACTACCTGGTGACTTTCTCGGCTTGAAAATGTGACAAGTACAAACAAGATTTCAGTATCAGTGTTGTTTTAGCAGAACAAATGTTTTCTGTTTAGCTCTTCAGCTGTAGCAAAATTTGCGGTTTCCACTTCGTTTTTGAATATTTGTTCTTTTCCCGTCACTGTAAGCCTGTATATTTGGTTCAGTTTTGCAATGAGCAATGCCAGCCAGCTTCGCGCGCATGCTCGAAGAGCGTAGAAAAACAACAACAATCCTAAACAAATATAAAGAAAACTAAAGAAAATGGACTAGTCGAGGGTGCATACATTCTTCAGTATCTCTATACTTCTTTCGATCTGTATCTTCACCAAGTGGGCTGTGAATCTATTTAACAACAGCCAACCCAACTCGCGAGGGCGCCAGCAAGTAGGACAACAAACGCCTTTAATATTTGCCTTAAGTTCCGCACAACCAAGTCATGTCAAGTGTAAAGTTTGAGCTCCAGAAAATTCCTTAGAAAATGATCTGGTTGCTCTCTAACTGAACGATTTCTAAACATAATATTAATCAGCCGCCAGTCTCACCTCCCACTAAACGTCTCTTTGTGTTTCAGCCAGCTACACGTACGTTCAACGTCTTTCGTAGAGTCACCAGGGGAAAAAAATGAGTGCTCAGTGAATTTGCTTTCAAAGCTTGAATGTTAAAACGCCGTAAAAGTAAAAATATTATTTTTTCTTGTGTTGCCGTGTAAAATATTTGCATTGGGTGTAGTGTTGATGTGTTTCTTGAATACACAACGACTGCAGAATGTTGTGTTTAACAATTGTGTTTCGAAGAAAGTGTGTCTTAAACAATTTCCTTTAAGGGTAATAGATTTGTTTTTAGAAACCGAAAAATACGGTTCAATGGCACATCTGCATGAAGACGTAAAAATTCGTAATAAATCAGCTCCGTATCCAATTAAAAAGTCTGTTGGCTTTTTGTCTAGGAAAGCCACAGATACTTTGAAAAAAGCCGTGCAACTTCCCGCAATGCATATTGTTCGTCTACAAAGACCTTTTGAACAATATCATGACGGTGTTTTCAATAATCCCATTCATTCCGAAAATGGTCAAGTAAATTTTAAAGTATCTTGCTTAAAAGAGTTTCTTGAAGAAAACTGACGAGTCCGATATTATAAAAAAACACTGCAAACAAAATCAACGTACGAAGCAGCAATTTTGTTCTCTAGGCTAAAGGATCACTACAGTCAAAGTTCCTCACAGTAAAATTTTAATAGAGGACAAAACGCGTAATCACGGTAAACACTATGAGGAGTCTCGAAGTCTCAACCTTAGTTCACAAGGATTAAAACTCGGCAGGATATGAGTGGAAAGAAACAGTTGTTCAGGAATGCGACAAGAACGTTTGTACTGAACAAAAACGGGGAACCCACTGCGCAATGCCACCCGTACACGTTTTGGACCCGCATTGGAGAAAGAATGTCGGAGTACCGGTCCTCGGAATTCAGAAAATGTTATTGTTTTAATTACTACCACCAACGCCTCAGCTAACAGAATTTGGGCGAGACCGCAGAGGCGCAAAATACCGCAACAACATGAACTTGTCGCGAATATAAGGGCGTGCTCGGAATTCGAGGAAGTGATGTCACGTT